TCTTCTTGATTTTATTTCGTTTTGGGTAGAGTCAGGGCAATATGAGCAGTTTGGGCATGGCTATATGAGTGTCTCAACTTATTTTTGGCTTTTTCAAGCACACACACATACCGCAAAGATAGAGACATGTTTGCCCACATTCAAATCACTTTTCAAGGTTAAGTTTTGCCGCCGTTTGCTTCCCGCATTTTGTGTGAGTTTTGGTTTGGACCCCAAAGTACTTGGCCAACAATGAGAGGGACAAGTGGCACTCTCGAGTTAATTACTGTAAACACGAACAACATCTATTCGAAATTTGATTTTCGAGAATTAACTGATAAAGCTTAGAGCCTAAGCTGAGGTCAAACTTCGGGCTCCATGTCGAGTTTCTAGTGCTTCCATTTTGAATAATCATGATGGCTGGCATTGAGAGCTGGATTGGTCGGTGTGTGTGGGTATATTTAGTATTTTCTGCGATAAGCAAATGCTAATATTCAATGAAAAGTATTTCGAGTAGAAACTTCAATTGGCGAGCCATTGAAACCAACTTGTTTTCAATCAGCAGAGAGAACAACGAGCGACCTCGAAGTGCTAGATAAACGAAGTTGACAAGACGTTAATTGCCGCCGCGTTGCCTAACATTAATATCGAAATATTACGCATACGCAGTGTGTACAGCTTTGGCTCAGGTGTAGCAAACAATTAAGGAAAGCTCGTGGCAAATAGAGAATGAGATAAACCTTATAATTACAGTTGCGAGTTGCATACGCTAATGGCCAAGGTCAACAAAACCAAACACAATTAGATACTGAAACTTATCCGAAGACGTACAGAAGTTCTGCTGCAGCTGAAACGACGACTGTTGCTGGAGTTGCTGATGGTGATGGGGATGCTGTGGCGCCTCGTGCTGCATCATTGTGGGTGTCGATGTTGTTCTGGCAAACAACATGCTGTTGAACTGGCAAGCCAATCCAAAGTCACTGGCAAAATGGCTGCGCGGGAGCTGGAAAGCGTATGATCGTGGATCTGGGAGCGTGGAGCGACTACGAGCGAGCTAGCTAGCGAGCGACCAAGCGAACGCACCAAACAACCGACAAAACCGCACTGAAGAATTCCAAAGACGGAGCCCAGACTCAAGCACAGAGTTGCCAGAGAGCCCCGGACGGAGAGAAGAGGCGCAGCGGCGTATAGTGGGAGCGCTAGCGGGAGAGAGCTGCCGACCGGAGAGTCAGAGTGGGTTCATGAGTCAGAGTGTACCGATCACTCTGAAACCCGACCACCGGCAGATGATGTGTCCCTGTCCCTGTCTGTGTGCGTATGATCTAATGCTGCCTCGCGTTGATTGCCTCACTTCACTCCAAGCTCCATGCTCCATGTCCACGTCCGCGTCCGTGTCACTCAGTTCATTATCAGCGGAGTGAAAAATGAGAAACAGAGAGTAAAGATTGGGAGATGGGGAGCGACAATGGGGGGCGTGTGTGTGTCGAAAATAGAAACTGCTGTGGCAACATGTGATACCAATATCATGTACGTACGAAATGAGCCAACGTGATAAGAGACAGACGGGGCGGAAAGAGTAAACGTGTCACGTTTTCAGTCCCCTAGTCCATAGCCCACAGCCCACAACCCACTCTGATTGCCGTTCAATTCGCATTCAATGGCCAGTTCATTGCCTGTCAGACCAATTAAAAATTATCCAAACGATCCATAAAAGTCGCATTCGTTTTAAATAGTTTTTTGAAAAGTCTGGCCCACCCGGCGTATGTGTAATGTGCAATGTGGAGGGAGGGCCGAGCCCGACCCCACCGTTGACCCAAATAGTGTGAGAAACAAAGAAAAACGCTGCAAATCTGGGCCTGCTCCCACATTCTTATTTCTGTTTCGGCCCTAATCACTGCTGGCCGAAAGGGTAGTGGCTCTCCAGTTATTAGTAGGCCACTCGAGATGCTCTACAAGTGCAACAACGCACCGATGGGCCAAATAGCTGGCCACTCGAGCCAACAACAATAGAAGGCACCTAAGAATAAGGTAACCCAAAAACACGCGACGCCACGGAGATACTACCTCGGCTCAGACTCAGACTGTTGGCCAAAACAGAGAAGCCGACTGAGAGCGAGGACGCCAGGATGGCAAGATGGGGCCCTGGCAACCCCAAGGCAGTAAACGCACTTGAGATGCAGTGGGCCAGGCCAACCCAGTTATACCTCTCGCCACTCAAGGACGCTGGCTCGGCTAGTTTGCTGATGTGGCTGCTACCGAAATGGGTGGCTGGGTGACTGGGTGACTGGGTGGTTGGCTGCTGCTGCGGCTGCTGTGGCGGCTGCAATGGCGCCAAATGCTGCAGTGCAGCAGCTGAGTGGGGCCTCGGAGTCACTGCGCAGGACTTTTCCTAGACAACCCACAAACACACACAAGTGCAGAGCACACGCACACTCCGCACCCGCATTGTCATCAAAGTAGGTCAACCGCTTGCCATGCTGTCAACGTTTTCTGAGAGCAGCTCACGTTTCTCTTCGCGCCTCACTCTCACTCACCCAGGTCTCTCTTTCTCTCTGGTGGTGCCCTCGGTCAACTGGCGTATGCCACCCACCCACCTACACAGTATAATTTTCCAGCTGCCCTGCTGCCTTGCTGCCAGCATTGATTACATAAGCCCAGACCCAGACCCAGCTTCAGCTACACTGGCTGCAGTACCTCCATGGACCTGACTTCTGACCCCGACCCCACTCCTGACTACCACCCGCCACCGTTTTACTGCATTTCCTTTGCAGCAGCCTTAGCGGCTGACGCAGTTGTATCTACTGCTGCTGCAACATTGCAACCTATAGCCATGACAGCCATGAAACCCCCGAAAAAAACTGAAAAAATAATAAATATTTAAGAAATTTAAGAAATAAATGACTGTCGAGGCAGCTAAGCAAATAAGCCATTTGAAAACTAATAAATTACGGGCCAGTGTATGGACCTGTTCTATGGACCGTCCAGAAGACAACAAGAAGGCCCAAACAAAGACTTCAATGCTGGCTAATTAATAACAAATGCCCAGCTGTTTATACACTTATGGTATTGATGTCTCTGGCCATCCCAACCGAAGACCAAGACCACATCATCGAAAAAGATGTCATCTCCATCCATCTTTCAAGACCTCTAACCATATATTCTTAAAATATTTATAATATTTACCTATCGAACGAACTTGAACGAAAACTTACTCGAACAGAATTTCCGCATTCCAATAAACGGCGTAAAACTTAAAAATTTTGATGCAACATTAAGACAATTGGCTCTTTTCTTATTAAAATTAAAACACATGAATTTGGGTGGAAATACTTGGTGTAAGTGATGCGGCGTATTTGTCCTTGCCAACTTGGATAAAAAAACTATACTACTATATACTATACTGACATGTGGGGCATCTCAGATGAGATCGATCCTCCCCCCCGAATCGTTTCGAGTTTATTAGGCAATCTAGCACGCTTCAATCAGCAATTAGGAAACTTAAAAAACGTGTTTCTTGCCTCAGGTGGCAAAGCTCACACGACCAGACCCAGACCACACCACAGAGTATCTATATATACACACACTTATCTATCTATCTATCTATCTATCTTTGTGACTGACTGGGTGTCTGTCTAAATATCAAAAGCTAGGCATGGCAGCGGCGGGGGCGACATTTACACTTTGCTATTTTCGAGCTATGACGAGAGCCCACCACTACCACCACCACCAGCCGAAAAGTCAACCACGACGACGACAGGTACTTCGATTGCGTCGTGGCTCACCTTGGAGCTTGAAGCTTGGAGCTTGTAGCTTGGAGCTGGCAGCCAGCTGGTTTTGTGTGCCAAACAAATCATGCAAAGCAACTTGTTAATAAGTTAGCTCGTGGCTGGCTAGTGGGGTTTGGCAATGGAGGTGCTTCTTTTTTTTTTTTGAATGCCCACTAATCTCCATATGAATATACTGGTGACCCACTGGTCGCATCAGCTGTCCAAACGAGTGCAGGGACGGTCATGGGGTTTGCGGGCTTGCACTTGTATTTAATTGCAGGCCATTGATTAGAAGGCTGAGGACTAGGCAGGGGGCGAGAGGCCGAGATTGCAAATTGCAGCAGGCGGAGGTCGTTGGGAAAATGGGTCAACCAGGGCCTAGAAACCGACCATCTCGGCGCCAAATCCTGCGCAAGATTCAGCCATCTGTCCATCTGGCCACTGGCTGCCAGTTGTCATATTCAGATGGGTCCTCAGGGCGTATACGCAATTTCTAACTTAATTACAAATCAAAGTCTGCCAGTCCGGTTGCTAAATGGACATCGCCCCGAAACGGGACCGGACTGCAAATGAATTTCATATCGTGCTGATTAATTGAAAACTTTAACAAAAGCAACAACAACAACGACAGTGACAATGACAACAACAACAACAACGACATAAAAGCTACAAAATTATAGAGAAGGGCGGGGGGATTATTGCAAAAAAGAGGGTCGGCACGATCGACAGAAAAGTTAGGCAAACAAATCCAATGAGTTATATTTATACGCTTCGGAGATAAGGAGCAGTGGATAGATAGATATAGATAGCGAACGAGATATAGAAAGACGGATTTATATATAGAGAGAGAGAGAGCACGATAATGGGGATATGCAAGAGCGATTGAAATATTTTCTGTATCTTCTGCTTTTTTTGAAATGAATCTTGGGGATTGGGATACGATTGATACTGATACTGGATACTGGATACTGATACTGATTTTTGGATTTTGGATTTTTTTGGTCAACTTACCGGAACTGAAATGTGAGCGTTTAGTTTGTTCATTTTCCGGATCGGAATCGAGTGGCCTTTTGCGTGAATCGCCGATTTCAGGACTCGGACATGTCTCCATGGTAGCGTCTTCGGCCATTTTTAACTGAATGTTGCTGCTTTTGGTTATCAACTTTGACTGATGATTAGCTTTAGCTTTTGCTTTGGGTTTCTGTTGTTTGTGGGTCTCGTTGGAGTATTTTTCTTTGTATCTTTTGGATTTTGGATTTTAGATTTTGGATTTTATTTTTTTAATTGTTTTTTGATTCTATATTCGATTCGACAACGAAACGTCCGATGATTTGGTAATGAGGCGTCAGTTTAGCTTTTAATTATTTGGTATTGTTTCTTGTAAACTGTTTTGGTTTTTAAAAAGAGCGTGCGAGCGAAAGGGGAAATAATAGAGCGAGCGAACGTCAGTATCTGTCAGTAGTATCCTTCAGTCCTTCAGTCCACGTCCTTGCGTTGGATGCGATGCCTTATCGGGGGGATGGATCCGCCACTGGCATCTGAGAGTAGTAGAGTAGAGTGATGAGGGGCTTTATAGCTATATGATGTCCTTAGTCCTTGCAGCCATATATGCAGCGATTGAAAGTATCGGCTATCGATCGCTCTCAGTGACAGTGAGACAGTGACAGTTCGTGATCGTCGCTATATGTGGTTGTATATGCAAGTGCACATATACGTATTTATTGTATTTTTTCTTTATGATCCTTCTAGGTTTTCAATTTTTTTTAAATTATTTTTATTGATTTGATTTTTTTGTTGGTGGTTTTGTGGTGGAATGTGCGAGTTTTGTTTTTTTTGTAAACGTTTATATGAAAAAAAGAAAAAGAAAAAAATATTTATGAGTGAATTATGCAGCAATAATAAATATACATACATACAGTAAACATTTAGGCATATATAGGTATGTACTTCGGCAATAAACTTGTAGATATAGATACAGTTGCCAGAGTTGCAATGCATTTCTCAAGTAGTAATAGTAGTAGTAGTAAACACACAAGTGAGTAACATTTAGATAAGTACAAATATTTTGGATGAATCGCGCTGGCTTCTATTTACAAATTTTAAGGGGGGGGCGGGGCAGGATTTTAGGGTGGACCGAAATGGGTCTTCTAAAAGCGTGGGTTTTTGTTGTGTTGTAAAGGCATTCACATATCAAAAAACTGTTCTGGGGGCAGGCAAATATCGTTAAAATGGAAGATAAACTAAGTTTTAAAAACCAAGCTTCGTGAACGTTGAAAGTGTGGAATGATGGAAAGCAGACGACTGCATGAATTTCAGGAATCCATAGAAATTATTGGAAACTCTTTAGAAAGAAAGGGTATTTGGAAAAGTGAGAAAAAAAACTGAGAAATCTCTGCGCACTGTAACTAAATATACATCTTCAAAATCAATATCTTAAACTAAGCTAGAATATAGAGAAACTTGTGCCATCTAACTAGATCCAGCTCCAGCTATCTTTATATCTTTGTATCTACCCCTGCCCTGGTCTGTTAAATACCTAAGCAAGTTTTTTGTGTTCGCGGCAATGAAAACCCAACTTGCAACTCAATTATGCATGAGCTGTGTGTTATTTTATTATGATTTCATTGCTAATTAAAAATGCGCCGACACAAAAACCAAAGCGAGACCAGCAACAACAAACAACGAAAATATCTGCAGCAGCGTTAAGCGACAGACAGACGGACAACGCGCATTTATTTGTTTAAAATGGCGTTTAATTATACAAACATTTTTATATTTTATTTCGGTTGGTAGTGCTGATGTTGATGTTGATGTTGGAATACCACTTGGCAAGTGTGGTGTGTTGGCTTTGGTGTTAGTGTCTCGGGTGTAGGGGGTTGGGGGTTTCGATTTGACTGCAAACGACCTTGACCATTGAATAAGTTTTTTTTTTCGTGCCCGCTTAGCCGAGACCGCAGCAAAGCAAAATGAGCAATAAATCGAAGAGATGGCAAAAGCTTGAGAGCTCAATGCTAAGCAACCGCCCAGATACGTAGATACTTAGATACGTAGATACAATAGAATACTTTCAGTAGCGAATGCGTACTATCAGATAGATGATTTGCAACTGTGTTGCACCTGTCATCGAAATACAAACAGGTAAGTCGCACAAATTTGCATTTACTTATGAAATTAGTGGCCAGCGAATCAAGAAACTAAAGATCGATTTTAGCCAGAGATGCGGCTGTTCTGCCGTAGAACGAGTTTGTCGATTCGATCATTGAGAACCAGTTGGTTTTGCGACTCGGGTTGGCATTTTAGATTTTTCAATTAATTCACCCAATACTTTTGTTGCGTTATTTTCGATTATTTGTTGATTTTTTATGGCTCGTAGAAGAATTCCCATTCGAGGAGCTCAAAATGGCGACCAACTTGGCATTCAAATTTCTGCCACAAATCTCAGGGCAGTCTGCCACACGCGCCCCTTTTTCTCAGCCCGAGACACGCAAAGTGCTCGACATTTTTCACTCGGTGTGTCCTTGAATGTATATCGTATATCGGGCCAAATGGGATTGGGGAAAATGCAGCCAAAACTGCAACGGCAGTCGGTTAGAATAAAGTCGATGATGACGAAGCAGCCGTGGGGCAACGTCAGTGATGCACTCAAGCCGAAAATGTGTTAATGATGATGAATTGGAAGCAGCTGCCGATGCACTCTCCAATCAGCCCAAGGACATTCAGATTCAGCCACTGCATTCGAAATTATTCGAAAATCTATGAGGTGGGTGGACAATGCCTTGAATAAAAACAGGTTGCCTTCAAAATAAGATACTTTCGATGATGGAAATACATAATCTAATACAGAAATACATATTATTATGTAAAACATCTTAAGTTATTCTTGCAGAAATCTTAAGAAACCCACAGGAAACGACCAAACTTCGTACTCATTTCCTTAGCTAAGAAAAAAGCCCTTCCAAGAACCATTCACTTCCCGGTTTATCACTAAATTTCTTATATGGAACTGAACTATAAAAATATATATATATATATATATGTAAGTGAAGTACAAATATATAAATCAGGCACTACCCGGGTAGATGGAAAAATATTCCATTTACTCAGGCACTTATGAGTACGATTCGTACATAGAACTTATCTCCCTGTCGGACTCACAGTTATCACTCGAGCGGAGACGACAGCGATAAGGTTTATTTTCGTTGCTTTTCGGTTTGTCGATAAGACGTCCCGAGACGTGAGATAGTAAGCCACTACGGTAGGGTTTCTTTCTGCCCCTTTTGAAAAATTAGAAGCCCCGCCACTGGAAGGGAAGCCAGGGAAACAATACCATATGATGTACTTGGCTGGCACTCGAATGACATCAGAAGTTTTGGGAAAAAGTTTGAAAAGTTTCAGAACTACAGCTGGGTGGTTGGGCTCCATGGGTGGTTGGGGGGAGGAACACGCGACCCGCATTCGATGCCGCTACATATTAGTTGCCAGAGCGAAAGATTTATGCTTTGTTGGTTAATTGAAAGGCTTGTTTGTTTGCTTGATAAGCGCTTCTTGATGTTCCAAGAGCTCGGGCGCCACCAAACAGTACCTCAAAGCACGAAACAGCTGGGGGGAAAGGGGCAGGCAAAGGGAAGGCGAAGGCCGAGGCCCCGTCCCCAACCCCAAACCCCAAACCACTTTGTGTGTGGAGCTCTCAAATAACAAACTGTCAGTGGGTATGATTCCCAGCACTTAACGACACGACACTCACTTGAGAATTGGACGCTTCCTAAATTGAAAGTTCTTCAAAAAATACACTTTATTATTTCCCAATGAGGAGACGGCGCAGGAGGCGACGACAGTGCGCGAGTACGTGGAAATCAAATACAACTAAATTCAAAAACTGAAAACAATTAAAAACGAAATGGGCTCCGGCTCCGGCTACGACGAGACGGGCAGGCAGGCAGGCAGGCCAAAGTATCTACGAGATTCAAACACACTTGCCGGAGGGAGAGAGCGAGCGGGAGAGCTCTCCATCGCGAGAGAGAGTGCTGCGGGAGAGTGAGTAGTGAGAGTAGTTGTGTTGGTGTTGTATCTGGTAGATACTTTATCTACAAACTGTCGACTGCGTTTGCAAGTGTTTGCTCAGCCGCCTTCCGCTGCTCGCAGCTCTCTCTCTCTCCTGCCCAGTACGTGAGTGGATTCGTTTGTGTTCGTGTATTTATACGCTTATCAGTAAATAGTTTATGCTATGTACTGCACTTTGCTCTGCCCCTTCCCCACCGATCCCCCTGGGCCCTCAGGGCGACTAATTGTTTTGTTTTTGTTGATTCGGTTCCTGCCTCAGACGCCCCGACGCTGATAAAACTTAAAGTTTGGCAATATTTGGGCCTCCAAGTGGATCAGCCACAAGTGTAGGCGATAACCTCTTTCGAGGACCGACCGTATCCGTCGGCGGAGGAGGACCTCCTCCTCTTTGTTTGCCCATTTCAGACTCATTTATCGTCTTTTCATAGGCTCTTCTGACACAAATCTGCTGACAGCCAAGCGGCTGTTGCTGTATCTAGTATCCCTGGGATGTGTGTGCTTGTGTATCTTTATCTTCATGTTTTGACAAATATCATGTGCGATAAATCTTTGCCTGCCTGACTGCCAACAACAAAAAAAGGACACACTGACATCCTCAATTTTTTCATGACAAAGGCTGACGGCAATTTATCCCGACATTTCCGAACCACCATTGACATTACTAATCTGAGAATGTTTCATTTGTTTGACTTGTCAGCGGGATTGGATGAGGATATAGAGCTGGGAGTCGAGTGTGGGAGCTCGGGAATCGTGTAACACAATTAAAAGTTAAGGTGAGTAATAGCCCTTGAAAATAATAGAAATCATATTCGGGGAGTGGGGTCTACAAATGGGATCGTCCACAACAAGTAGCGATGCAAATACAGTGACTCACAGTCACAGCTCAGAACCGGACCTGTTCTGTCCGTGACTGGATTCTGGTTCTCGCTAATGATGATCTCAAATCGTCAAACAACTTGCTCCGCCTTTCGTATGTATTCATAAATCAATAATGGTGTTATCTAACATGTCACTTGTATCTTTCTATGTTTTAAGTAAACCTACACCAGAGTCCCCTAACCTAGCCGCAGTGGAACCATCGGAGCGCACTCCCAACAATTGCCCCAAACTCATAATTGCAGTCGGGGCTGTCCAAATGGCTTGACAACAACATGGACCTGAAAGAGCCTCCCTCCCCTGAAAGGCAACCAAAAATGGGGCAACTAAAATAAAATCAACCCGACCCGATCCGGCAAAATGAACAATGGGCAGGAGCCAGCCGAGTGCGGATAACTGGCGATTGTGGGTCAGCCCGGCAGTTGATAACTGTCCGGACTCGGGAGTCGGGAGTCCGGAATAAAGTGCCCGAGTCACTGAGCCTTACCCCCGCCCCTGACTGGGGGTACTTAGGAAGAGGGCTGAGCATTTGGGAAAGTCGACAAAAGAGGCAGAATGAAGGCAACATCGACACGAATGCAAATACAACAAAAGCGCAAATGTCATAAGTCATCAACGAGTGGAAATGAGGGGGTGTGGCACAGTGGGTAAAACTCCTTAGCCAGCGGACTCGTTATGAGCCAGCACTAAGGTTTTAAAGCCAGTGCCGGCGGCAAGGACATCACTGGGAAAAGGTAAACACAGCGCATACTTAACCAGATGGCACTGCGAATGAGGACGCAGCGGATGAAAGGCTGATGCGGACTGAATGCCCCGGGCAAGGCAAACTAAAGGAGGTTGCCGGGGCAGGGGGCGGCGGGTTGGCGGAAAAGTGGGCGAGGTGCGACCTCATTGACTTTGGCGGCACGTTTTCGGATGTCTTCTGTCAAATGAGTTTTTCCCGTATGTTTGCCCCTGTCCAGTTGGTGCGTTCTTTGGTGACTATCCCTCCTCCCATCTCCTCCGCCATTCCGCCAGAGAAATGGAAAACTTTGTCCGCATATGTAAGCAGGCACTACTGTATGTGTGAGTGTGTGTACAATTATTGGTTGTTGCTCAGCTTGTTCTACTGTTCCTGTTGCCTCGCATGCGGCATGCCACATGAAAAATGAAAGCGAAAATCAATAACGAGGCACGCGATGCGAAAAGCCAAAGCCTCCCGCTGGGGGTCAGCGTAGTCCAAAAAAAAAAGGGTTTCCCTCACAAGCCAGCACGTCCGAGACAAATATTTATGCTGTAAGCCTTCAAATATAAAGCTTTCTTTAATTTAATTTTAAAAATTCTTTAAAAGAAATCATAAAGTAACAAAAATATAGAATAATAGTTGCCCTTCTTGGGTATTATTTTCCACCCCATTACGTTTATTTGCCGACTTGGCTTTAGCTTTCCAAGTAGAAGCGGCTTCTAGGATAAGTGGCCCGAGTGCCAAAGACCAGGAAGCGTGGATCCGAGCCCCGAGTGTGGGCCCCCCTGCCTGGGCCTGCCTTTGTGCGCATAATTTATGCTCATTGCGAACCAGACCGCCCCCCTTCCCAGCCCATATTCGTTGGCTTTTTTATGAGCCACACTTTTCGAGGGTAGCTCCAGGATGTCACAGAGACTGGTGGTCTTGATGGGCCACCTCATCTGCGAAAGGGTATGCGAACGAATACATTCACTTCCTGGAGCCGTCGTCGAGTCGGGTAAGCTGCTTTGGATTTGGATTTCGTTGGCTTTCGGCTCAAAGTGCTCCTTTGTTTAGCATGTGTGTGTGTGGTGATATGGACGAGCTGATGATGATGATGAGTGCACGTGTGTCCCTGTGTGTTTGTTATAAATATCAGACGAGTGAGCGAGCGTCTATTTGTGTCGAGTCAACAGAGAAAGTCGGCAGGAGCTCGGTCGGCGGGCTGGAGGAGGCCCAGCTGGTTATTGTGGCGGGCCTGCCTTTTTTTTTGCGGTGGCTGGCTGCGTAATTATAATTATTAATGAGTGTACACGAAATGAAATTAGAATTTCACATTAACGCTGATTATGTGCGTTGCATAATGGAGCTGTGACGACCACATTGCGTATACGCAACGTTGTACACTGCAACTAATGCGGCTATGAAAATGTCTCTATACCTAGGGCCTAGTCCCAGACCAGTCCCAGCTAGCTCTCCCCATTGACTTTTCTCGCTTCATGTTGGATATTTTGGTGGCAGAAATGGGTGAAGGTTAAGCAACGTAATATGGCCAAAAATATAAATACACAGCACAGCACAGCACAGCAGTAGCAGCAACTTTATGGATGGCCCTACGAAAACATATCAGAGAGAAAATAAAAGAGGAAACACACATTCAAGGTATGTATGGAAAATATGCAGCAATATGCTGAGCTAGTCGGAATCCGCAGAGACCCCCAACACCAACACCAACACCAACCACACAGAGAGGGAGAATGCCGGGGCTTCCCATGAAACAAAATCAAAAGCTCACAATTAGGCCAAGCGAACAAAAACAACAAAAAAGCAGAAACAGCAACAACAGCAGAGCATATATGCATCCCATACACATGTGTGGGTGTGTATCTGTGTGTGTTTGTATGTAAATTACTTGAGGGGGGGCAGCGAAGCCAAACTGCGAAACTATGTCGCTAGGTCGCCTGTCAATACAGAGCGAGAGAGACAGAAAGAGAGGAAGAGAGGGGGGCCGGTTCCAATCAAATCGAATTCGTGCTTGCAGGTGCCCGAGCCAAGGTGCGTCTATGAATTATCCATAAATAATGGCGAAGGCAGTCAAAAGGCACTACTGAAGCACCGAAGACTAACTCAAACACTAAGAACTTGTGGCAAGTTGAAGTAAACAAGCTTGCTAGTGGGCCTCCTCCCCCTTCTGAGGTGCTCTTGGGGATGTTCAAGTACTCTGACCTGATGTTGCGATACCCTGACATAAACATGTCTATAGACATTAGAAGAGTATCTTTAAGATAGCTAGGATATCTTAGTTTCTCGTCCTAAAAACACAGATATTGAAAACATGTCCTCAAGGTGTGCTTTATTTAGAAGACCTGGTTTCTTGGCCTCGAGTCAAATATTACTTACTTTTCAATCTCAATATGGTCCAAGTCAGTGGGAAATATTAAATCAAATTACTTGACAACCCTGCCTGACAATGAAACAAATATCTTGTCTGTCTGTCTCTGTGCTTTATTTTTGGCATTTTAATTAAAAATTGGCCCAGTTGTCGTACAGCCTGGCGACTATTTGGTACTTGGTGCCTGCACTTGGACCAGGCCACACTACCGACCGATGGCTGCAGAAGCTCTTTTTTGGCAGACAGCGACCGAAAGAGGCCGAAAGAGTGGAGGAACAGAGAGGGAGCTATAAGAAGGGACAGAGACGAGGACAGTGCCCCAATTTAGACAAAATCGATGCTGGCCTGGTCTGGCGACAATATAATTCATTTAGAAACCTTATGTTTTCAGACCGTTATACTTCCATAATTATGAAACTATGTATCTCAGAGATAGTGTATCCAAATCTCTACCTATATGTATCTATATCTTTTCAGATCTACTTATATCGTGGGAGCTGCGTTTGTTTAACCCTTTAAAACCTTTTAATTTTTTTCAAAACCTATAACTTTGTGTTACTTTTATTACATAACTCCCTAATCCCCAATCTGGAAGACGCCTGCCTCCAAACAAATAAAAATACTTATTTTTTTCCACAATTACAAATGCAAGTAATTTGTTATGGAAGCGTGTTTTTTTTTTATTTTTATTTCTGCTTCCCGCGATGACGCTGTGAACTTGAACGGCGTCAAAGTCGGATGGGTAATTGTAATTACTGTTTGCTTTTTGTTGTTTTTTTGTTGATTTTTTTTGCTTTTATTGTTTTTGCGGCGACTATACCTCCTAATAACATTCAATTGATGCAGCCAATTAACTGTGACTGCAATTACAAACATAGATACATACATACATACACACATCCAAGAAACCTATAGGCATTTGAGCCAATTAAAAAATCGTTGAATATTTATAGGCAAGTCAGGGCAAGGTCGCAAAGGCAAAAGGGGGGATTAGTGGTTTCCAGGCAGCTTTCCAGGTCAGGTGGATTAAAGATAATTGTCTCAGGCAGGTCTGTAACTATTAACTGATAAGTTAGTAACTAAAAAAGGGCAAGTATTGTATCTCCATTAATATTCAAGAGAGATACAATTAAAAACAATTATTCAAGTATTCAACCCAAAAATAGATGATTTTTATAGCTTGGCGAAAGGGGAACTTCTTCAATAGGTTATAGAACACAATGGGAATCCCCGTTAAAGCTTCAAAGAACGAACCCGTCTTCTTAATGAAACCCGTTCTTTGGACTTTATTGTTTGGAAAACTTTTGCTGACCATTTGGTTTTCTGCTTTTCAACCCTTTCGGTATTCCGATGTTTAGGTCTTTGATCTCGAAGTGATTCATTCATTCAAGCAACCATTCATCCAGCTAGGCACTTTACGAAGCCCGAGCTGAGCATTTTCCTAGAACATCGGCCACTTTAATTTACCGCCAAGTTTGCAGTTTTGCACTTTCAGCCATAATCGACTGGGTTGCGACTGGACTCTCGGCTTATTAGCCGAGCCGAGAGAGTCTCCGTCTCCATCTCCGGGTCGAAATCACCGCCGTAACCATTACGCCAAATAGGTTAACAGCAGTTTCGTGCCTTTTGCATGAACACGGCCCTCTCTACGTTTGTGTGTCAGCCATGCAGTGTGTGTGTGTGTGTGTTGTGTTTACATAAACCTTTTTCTCGTTTCGTTTTGGGTTAATTTTTTCTTGCAGCTTGGACTGCATCCCCATATGTGAACCCTAGAAAAGCTTAAAGAAAATAATTTAAAAAAAAATTAGAGTACAAATGTATTCGGCTTGCCTGATTAGCTCTGGTGGTGCAGTTTAACCCACATACGAACTGCCGCCTTACCGAATTGCGCAACGGGTGCGGGGGCCAACAGTGGGTTAAGAGGGGCGGGAGTGGGGGACAGCCGTGTGAATGCAAATGAAACGAAACGACACACAAGCGGACAATTTAATGCCTATTTGCATTTAACGGTGGCATGGCGGCCGGGGGGACATCGTGAAAATAAAAAACTAGAATCAAGTGTCGGGTTAGGCTATGAAACGAGCAAATTGATGAGCAGATAAAGGGAAGGGGGAAGGAAGCGACAGAGCTGAGAGATGAGCCGAGGAAGAGGGGATAAAGAGCACATGAACAAAAAGGGCGGATGATGGGGAGGGGCTCGAAGGCTGAGATGGAGAACCAGACTCTGATTAGCATTCCGTGTGGGAGAGCATGAGAGAGCGGGAAAGAGGGAGAGATAGATCGGTTCCGATTCTGAGTAATCAGTATTCTATATTCCCGCTAATACTCTCATGAACAAAGTATGAATAGTGAAACCCCATCCCAACTCTATAGCTTAGAATTCAAAAAGTGGATTTTTTAAACCCCATCTTTCAGTGTTGAGAAACCACCCAAAAAAGTGTTGAAAAAGCTTGCATTTTATTTTAATTCTCGATCAAAGCTTTGATCCTGCAGTAGAAGGTCCTGCCTTATGCTAAGCTAATCTTAATACCAATCTTAGGACTAGTTTTAAATATATTCACCTTTCTGCAAGGAGTCGTGCATTCAGCTGCAATTATTTGAGTGTGGGGTGGAGATAGAGAACAGCTTTAGTGGGGTACTTTGAACGCTAGTGTCTCCTTGACTTGCTTACTCAGTACTTGTTTTTCGTTTTCGTTTTTTTTACTTTTATTTGTATTTTTATTGCAATTATTCAATTATTGTTTCATTCAGTGACGCGACAGTTGTTTTTGTTGTTACTCCTGCGATTCAAGTTTATATAGATTGTTGTATTTATCTGGTTTTATGTTCTGTTTTGATTTGGCCTGGTTGTTGCTATTGTTGATACAGATTAGTTTTAAGCTTTTGGTTGGATTGGTTATATAAAAACAAAACAAGCACAGACACACACACAAATACGCACTAATTTGCCGCGAAGGTTAATTCTAGCGAAAAACTATCGACGACGACGACAACGACTATGATGATGATGATGATGAGTTTTCGAATTAGTAGCAGCACCTAAACGGGCCAATTTGCTTAGACGCCCCTGCTATCCTCGCCCCCTGCTATGCGCCTGCAATGCTTGTTCGCTGTTGCTTTTCCGTTTTTCCGTCCAGTTTCGCGGCGTCTTCGTCTTGCGTGCTCGTTCACGTTTGGATTCTAACAAAATGTCGCGTTTGCTTGGCTCGCCAAGCTCCCGTCAAGCTCTCTCTCTCTGCTGCTGCTGCACACTGTGAACGCTCTCTCGACCTGCCTCTCGCGAGTCGCGAGTATCTGTGTGCCACGTACACGTGCCCGTCCGATCACATTTCTATCTAACAGTTCGCCCCCCTTCGTGTATCTGTATGAGTGAGTCGATGGATGCCCATACGAGGTGGTTCTCTTCGTTTTCTTTGTCCGCCTTAGCGCGCATTTTCTACATTGATTTTTAAATTCGAGAGCAGGCAGCAGCATTGTTTGTTTTAAAGTTTATTTCGAATGCGGGAAAACAGCTCGTCTGCAAGCTTTTCCACTCTCCTGCAAGCTTTTTTGGCTCCCGCTGGGCATTCCTCATGCTCTCGTTCTCTCTCTCACTTTGCTTAATAGGGCACTAGGTTTTCATGCAAACGTTGGAAAATTGCTGCACGTTCACACGAACACATACTACCAACGAGAAACGACATTTTTGGGACAAGATACTTTTGCATTTCCTGTGCAAGTGCCAAAAGCTTCAGCTTTAGGGCCTGCAGGTATTGCCTTGAACGTATTGAACTTCTATCGGACGAATATTTTGGCTTTCAAGTTGTTTATGACATAATAATTGAGAAACACCAGGCCATATGTTTGGCAAACGAACGGTCGGAGAGAGAGGCGTAAATGAATAGAATAACGAGAAAAACTCGTTGGGCAAAGCTCAGAGGCAAACAAACGAAAAACATTAAAATAAAATATATAAATTATGTATACGCGCTGTGTGCGTTTTATCAGCTTGCACGCTAATCGAACAAAAGAGAGTCATTGGCGAAGGGGAGGGGGGCGGTGTGGGGAGAGTTAGAGAGGCAGAGGGAGAGAAAAAGCGTTGCCCATACAGCCGCAGAGCTGTGGCGTGAGTGTGTGAGTGAGCTGCTTTGACACACTTTTATATGACGTCGTTGATTTTAATTTCGTTGGCCCATTCCAACGTTTTTTTTGTGTTCTCGTTCTGTTTCAGTTCGGGTATCTTAAAGATAGTTCCTTTGGGAATCGTTGGGGGAGAAGAGGGGCAGTGGACAGCAGGAAACAATGGGAGACGACGAGTGGCAAGTCAAAGGAATGTTTGTTGATAACATCCAGGCAGCCTCTCTGATAAAAAACAACACATGTTTCAGAGTCTCTGGACCATTGTTGATGCTATAGGATTCCAATAGGATTCGATGGTGTTCCAGTTGGAATTTGAAAGGTCGGCCAGTTTCCCAGTTTCCCAGTCTTAGGTGTTAATTAAATTTGGTTCGAATGTAGCGCGTTACAATTTCAGTTTTATTTTTTTTTTCTTCAGCTCAGCTGCGGGCTTGTGTGAGTGAGTATTTATGTAACCAGCATGCCAAGCAAGGCAGCTAGCCAGCGAGTGGGAGCGAGAGATAGCAGGCGAAGCGCACATGCCAGGGCATAGATACTTTTTGGCATTGAAACAAAACGTAGTTCACAAAAAGCACACCAACACACACAGATACACTCGAACAAACACACACGCAAGCACGCATTCAAAACCTCACCATACACAGATACGCCACGAAAAAAAGAACTTAGAACACAGCGCAAGGAACAGCACCCGAACAACTCAAGAACGTAGAACGGAGCTTAGAGATACACTCGCACACACACACACACGCACGCACAAACTGCTATTCCCCCGCTCTCGGAGCTCTCCTCCTCCTTCTCTCGCATAGAACGCATGTGTGCATTATTTAATTTAATTTAATTAAATTTCAGTTCGCCACCATTAGAAAAGCGACAACGACGAATAGCAACAACCATCAGCAGATACTTGGTAATTTAAAAGCACTATTTTTTATTTTTATTTTTATTTTTTTAATTGGTGGCTCGAACCACTTTTGTTTAGATTCGTCGGTCGATTCGTTAGATTGTTGTTTTCGAAATTGCAGAACTTTGCGCTTAGGCGTCAGTATGTATGCCGTGTGCCATAAACATATAAACAAACTCACTGGCGACGACGTATCTGAATCTGACGCTCTGACTCTGTGACTGAAATCCAACTGAACTGCTCGACAAAACTTGAAAACAGCTCGCACTCGCGCTCGCGGTTGAGCGCTCTTTCGACTCGTGCCGAGATTTCTGTACAGAAATTCCGATGGTCGTCGGGCGGTCGGTCAGTGGTTGCGAGAGAACTGTCTCGGGGACTCGGGGGCTGTGTATCTGAGTATCTCACAGATACAAATCGGTTTTGCTTTCGTTGCTCGTTTCGAATTGGAGAAAGAGCAGAAGAGCGCCACTCTGCGCAGAACATCTCTCGCAACTCTCTCTCTCTCGGAAAACAACCACTTTACGCTCAGTTCGGATTCAATTTGGATTTCCATTATGCATTTTCCAAGCAGAAGCAGAAGCGCGTGTTCCTCCCCCTCCCCCTCTATTGGGGTCTCTCCAGTTTCCCAAGAGAATCTCCTCTATAGGTCAGGCAGGTAACAACAATACCGTACAGTCTGCTAATCACAAACTGATAAGAATTTCTTAAAAGAATTCTCCACCTATCACGTGACTTAAATGAGACTCAGTTTATTCAATTCGTTACAGAGATTAATATCATTGCCGGTGCAATTACGTCATTATAACTAAACCTACATTACATTTAAAGTACGATCCAATGTTGGACGATATTCCGAATGGAATATCTAAGACAGACAGAGATTGCTTACTGTGGAACTGGAGGGATATCACAAAAACGTAAAAACCTAAGCGAACACGAAATAAAATGGGTAGTTACGCAGCAGCAGCGGAAAAACCCTGATGCGTAATAGGATTTTCAAACCCTTAAAAGGAAGCTTACAAAAAAAAATTATACGTAGTTTTATATTACGTATTTCAGTGCTTAGGTTGAAGATAAAACTGAGAATTCCTGTGTTGCAGTGGGTTAATATCGGAGATTCATAAATTCTTTCCTCTTGGTTGCTCATATTCGACTTGTTGATTCAATTGCGATCAGCTCGTGTGACTGCTCACGAGGGCCACAGTTTCCATGGGACACACTTCGGGGGCAGCGATGGGCTCCAACTGTTCCAGGGTCTGAAGGAAAGTTAGGGTGGTACGTTCGCACCTGGCAGTGTTCGGCAGCAGGTGACAAGCATCAATCTGAAGTTCGAAAAGAAAATAATCTTAGAAGGTTAAGCACTAAGAAAAATCAGTGGCATCCACTTACCTTTTGTGGCAACTGACTGTCTGCCCCGCACTGCATCAGATTGGTTCGGTGCAACACGTATCCTATGCGTTGTGTCTTTGCGGAACTCTTGGTAAGTCTTCGCATGACAGACACATCGAGATCCTCTCGAACGGAGGCATGGTCACCACCAAATTGCGCCTGCACCCCGATCCATTCGTTCTCCGCGAATATGAACTTATCCAGCGGGTCCAGAAGCGACTGCGAGGCTTTATGGGCCGCGCTCGTTAGGTAGCCGGCAGGATGCTGCTCCGATAGCCGCAAGCAGTTGTTAATCCGTTCCAGCACCAAGCGGTAGATATGCAGAACAGGTTTATTGTCCAGCACCCCTTGGCCAAGGCCACGCTCGTCATCGCTTGCCAGCCGGCGATCCTGCATAATCTCGATCTCGCCCGAAGCCAGTGACGATCCACCCAGCGGTTGGCCAGTGAGGAGAGTGAGCCGCATGTTGGCATCCTCTATGAACATGGCCGAGGGAACAGGATAGTAGTTTGCTTGGAGAGGCAGCTTTTCGAGGCGACGTCGCTTTATAAGCTGCAGGCCATTGAGGTCCGAGTAGAATATATTGCCGCTGTCGATATGCGTTTGCAGTCGCATCACGATTTCGGTGTTATCCAGCTCTCCAATGTCCACCAAGTTGCGAATCTCAGGGGCGCCACCGCGCATTATGGTTTGGTGCACCACACTCGGCAGGCCCACGCTCACCGAGGACTCCAGCTTGCCTTCACTAACCAATACAACGGGGCTGCTCACGCGGAAAGGCGTGGCCGGTCCATTGGGTAGAAATAGATAGGCTCCGGACCTGTCTCCATGCTGGCGGGTTCCGTACTTCAGGAACTTTAGATGCACCGGCACATGAGGGCTATCCTGCGAAAGCTGCATAGACTTGAGCAGACCATCTTCCGAGAAGGCCAAGGTGGGACCATTTCCCACCCTCAGTGATATTTCTCGATGCTCGCCAAACTTTACATCCTCCGGATACTGGCCCAACGGAACGGCAAACGAGGAGGAGCGCATCAGCAGGTTTGAGGCATATGAAGTGTGTCTGGGGGTTATATAAAAGGAGAAACCTATTGTGAGATGTTATATTCGACTGGGGTGTGGAGAACCATGTATGTAGCTCTTCCAATTGACAAGTTAAGGTTTGAAATGATAAAGCGGTTTTAAAAATCAACCAACATTAAAAGCCAATTAGGCAAGATATCAGTTAATAGATTAAACTTGTTTTTATATTTATAAACTTACAACTATTAAAAATAAAGATACCATTTTTTAACCCAAAATATTACTTACTGTGGCTTAGATTCCGAAATAGTCAGGATGTAGGTTGCCAGTCCCATGGGGGGCACGCGCGCCTTGAATATAATGCGGAACTTGGTAGTGGATCCTTGCGGATGGATGGTCTTGGTGAGCGTGTCGTGATGCCAGCTCCACACTGGGGTTACCTGAGCCTCCACAGGATTGTTGGTTAGGTCACTGACGCTAATGAACGGACTGGACACATAGAAGTCCACCAGCTGCTCTCGCCAATGGGGCAAAGTATTGTGCAAGACAACATGCTTGGTAGGCAGCTCCTCGCCCAAGATTATGGTAGTGCGGCTGTCCTCCACGCCCGATCCCGGCCAGCGCGAATCGTCGAGCGTAAAGTACGAAAAGCTGAATTCTGGACTGTAGATCGATGGCTTGGTGAGTAGCCGGTAGACGGACTGTTGCATCACCGCCTGGCACGCTTTCAATGCTTCTTGCATGCGAGTCTCGTAGTCCTTAACGACATGAGTTTTGGCTGTGCCGGTGATACCATCGTGATGCTGAAATAGCGACAGTTCGCGGCGAGCAAGCTCCAGGCGCTCCTCGATTCGTGCCATTCCGTCCCAAGAGTGCCAAGCCGAAAGCATTTCCGCAGAGCGAACGTAGTGCATCAACACTCGATCCATCCTCTTGTGGTAAGGCCGGGAGGTGTAGTATCCGCTCCAGTAGTTGTCCGTGCGATCCGCGTATGTAAAGAAATCTCCACTTAGCGATGGGAATGCGGTCTGTCCCAGGCCCTCCGCTTGGTGCACTGCATTGAAGTACTCCTGAAGGGTGCCAAACTGCGCCTCAACATTAAAGTGTGCCTGGCTATTGATATGCTCGAAGAGCTTTTCATAGTTGACCCTCTGAACATCCCACTCGGTGTTCTGCTTGAAACGGAAGTCATCTCCCAAAGGAACTAGAAGCACATTGGTGCGATACAGTTCAGCCTTCTTCTTCCATTGGTCCACTAACATGTCAGATCGAGCTGCCACATTTCCATCGACGATGGCTCGAGGTGGCACCCTCCATGGACAGCTTATCCCGAAAGCACCCAGACGCTTAAAGTCGAACTGACAGCACACCTTGGGATCTGGTCCGCAGGTGTGCGGAATGTCATACGAATAAAAGGGCATCATGTGCGTGAAAAGCGCCGTGTCGCCCTGGCTGTCCCAAATCTGACGCCAGTAGAACTCCAACTTCCGTTGCTGCGCCAGCTCCTTTTTGACGGAATAGTGTGTCCTCTGGATAAGCATGTCCTTGAAACCGCTCTTTTTCAGTATGTAAGGCATGGTAGGACTGTGCCCAAATGGATCGATGGCCCAGGATGCTGTGGGAGTTACGTTCAAATACTGCTTCAACCAGGTCTGACCTTCGGTTAGCTGCAGCAACACGTTGCGCCAATGCGAGTTGGCTTCATCGGGCATGACCCATCCTCCAGTGACGAATTCCAGCTGACCGCTTTTAACAATACTAGAAGAACGTGCAGGAAATTAAATAAATATTAGTACCAGTTGGTTTGCTGTTTAATGAGCTTCACGCTTAGTCAACTTTTAAATGTTTCTATTGTACCAATAGCAACTGTACAAGCAAGCCCAGTCATCGTTTCTAAATATTAATGATCTTTACAATGTAGAAATACATCTATTTACTTACGATTTCATCTGAAGCTTTTTGTTCTCGCCCAGATCGTGGAAAAAGCGGGAAAAGTACGAAATCTCTGCCCAGATAAACTTCATTTCGGGGTTCTCATGCAAGTGTCGTAAGGCGTTCGACAGGATGTGCTTTGTGTCGTGCTGGTAATAGTCCTCAAATGTTTGGATCCAACCAGGATCGTTGTGGGAGTGCGGCACCACAAACACCTTCAGCTTATGGTGGGCGTTGTACTTCAGGGGATCATACTTGATGTTCCATCCCTGCTTCCACACACCACCATCAATGTCTTTGAATGACATGCGGTCGTACAGGTCTAGCATCTGCACCTCCACCTCAGGGATTTGCTGGACCACATCCTGGCACTGTCCAGGACTCGACCGCTGCACTTCAGGCGGGGCAATAAGAGGTTCGTTCCTGACTTTGGAAATACGAGCCTGCAGGTTTCGCATCTCCTCGCCGTGCTCCTGCAGACCGTTTTCCAGTTGCCGCAGTTTATTCTCAATAGCCACATAGTTTGGCTGCAAAATAAGAATTTTTAAAGAAGCCGCTTTGTTTTCGGGGGTTTATTTACCTTTTTTTGAGTGACTGCCGGTGCTGCAAGGTTGAGGATCACATAGAGGCTGAGGAAGACTAGAAGGCAGGCGGTGCATATCACCAGCGCAAAACGTCGACGTATGCGCAACATTTTTGCGGCTAATTTGTCATGGAATCGTCTACCACAAACGCCTTCTTCACTTCAGCAGAGTTCCCCTTGCGTGTTTTTTTGTAAACAATAGGGTTGATATTGTTTCAAAATATCAATTTATCGATACTCATTATTTTATCTACAGCGTTGCCGGATGGTTGAAGTAAAGGACGATCTGCCAACTTGATACGAAGACCAATGTTGGAAAACGTGTTTGGTCGTTTTAAAAACTTTGACATTAAAATTAAACGTAAATTTAAAATATTGTATGCTTCCGATGGTAGAACCCTGTTTTATTTTAACACTTTATTTTCTAATAAAATACAATACAATTTTAACACAATTCTTATTCAAATAAAGAATATCTTTTGGGAATTGGATTTATGAAGTTCAATTTAAATTTAAATACATTTAAAAATATATATTATATATGTTTTTTATTAAGACTGCTTTGTTACTTGTTGATTTTTTTTGTAAATAAAACGTTGCGTATTTTTTGGCGCCCAAGTAACGGTCACTCCAAAAGGATGCGTTAACGGTTTTGTCTAAACAAAGATTATTCTCGAGATATTTTAAGCTTTTTGGATCATTGTTTCCCAAAAAAAGCCTCAAAATATAAAAAAGAGAAGCGATTTATTGGAAATAACAATTGTGCCGCTTTAGGCGGTCTCAATACTTGGTGGATGCTGTATTTGTTTTGCAGCCTAATATCGATTTTATCAGGCGCAGCATCAGTATTATTCAAAACAAACACAGCTTAAAAGCTGTCCAAGCGATTCCTATATAAATAGAATATTGGATAATATATCCAAGTGGAGCCATGAAGCGCCAAAATGTTAGAACTTTATCCCTAGTGGTTTGCACATTTACTTACCTTTTAATTGGCGCCGCGGTTTTCGACTCCTTGGAGTCGCCAACGGAGGCCAAACGATGGGAGTTCTTACAAGGTATGAGACTTAATTTTTAATTATTAAACCAATTAAATGTGTTATTTCATTTATTTAGCGGTTAAAAATAATTTTGTAAAGAAATACAATGTTAGCGATGAGGACTTCCGGGTGATGGAAATCGTTATCATTGAAAACAAACCTCACAAAGCAGGACCCCAGTGGAAATTTGCAGGAGCTTTTTATTTTAGCACGGTTGTCTTGGCAATGATTGGTAAATTAATAAAATTACACATTTAATTTAATATTTTAACCAATTTTAACCTTTATTTTAGGGTATGGACATTCAACTCCAGTCACTATTCCAGGGAAAGCATTTTGTATGGGATATGCAATGGTAATGATAATCTGAATAATATTCATATCCTTTTTAACAAAACTGCATTTCTTTAGGTGGGTATACCCTTGGGACTGGTGATGTTCCAGTCGATTGGTGAACGTCTCAACAAATTCGCTTCGGTTATTATAAGAAGAGCGAAGAGGGCCAGCGGAGCCCGGTGCACGGATGCCACCGAAATGAATCTCATGCTGGCCACTGGGATGCTTTCCTCCATTATTATTACCACGGGAGCAGCTGTATTTTCCCGCTACGAAGGCTGGAGCTACTTTGATAGTTTTTATTACTGTTTTGTCACCCTGACCACAATTGGTTTCGGGGACTATGTGGCACTGCAGAATGATCAGGCTCTCACTAATAAGCCAGGCTATGTGGCTCTCAGTTTGGTGTTTATCCTGTTCGGATTGGCCGTCGTTGCCGCCAGCATCAATTTGCTGGTCCTTCGATTTATGACCATGTGAGATTATCTTCCTTAACAGAACAGTCTTTTAAATTACAGCCTTTATTTAAAAATTAAATCATTTATTTCTTTTCAGGCAAGCGGAGGATGCCAAAAGGGATGAGCAGGATGCCCAGAACTTGGCAGGAAATGCCCAGCCAGTTACTTTTGATGACGAGTCCACATACAACATGCATGGAAAGCTCCTGGAGAACAACTATACTACTGAGAATGACGAGACCGCCTCGCTGTGCTCCTGCACCTGTATGGGTGGCACTCGTTGCCTGAATCATGAACAGTTTGTGGATCCGGACTTCCAGCCCACGGACATCATCGAAAGCACTCTGTGTTTAAAGCGAGCCTCCGTCTGATATCCGTACAACCAGCTCCGACACTCATCTTCTTGGGAACCAGAGCCAAGACCGAAGAATACCCTCGAATCGGGGCCCGCCAGAATGTAGATGCAATCCCGTAGAGACCCAACCACCTGAACCAAACGATGGTTGTTAGAATATCCTACCCCCAAACAGACCCTTACACTAATGAGGATCTTTAATATTGGTGAAAAGTCTAGAAGTATATAGGAAAGTTCTTTCTCCTAAAACTTTAAAAATTTTAAATAGTATTATCCAGGATAAGTATGTCATTTTAAAGAGTTTCCAAGGCTTGCTAAGATATTTAACTTTCTGTATGACTTGGTTTTTCCCTAAAATTATTAAAAAAATTATAAAAATTGTAAAACTTTCGTACAGAACTCTACTTCTATGGATTCTAGCCTTTAAAGAAACCATTTTATTCGATCCACCATATTATACACACTTTTACAAAGGAGACAAATGCTCCCCAGACCCATACCAATATCAACCCATACCAACATGTAACCTGGCTTAAAGCCTCTATTGGTTCCAAGGCCGAATCATCCACATCCCATCTAGAATTTTAGCTATGTAATATTTTAACTAAGTATTATTAAATGTTTTGTTGAAAAACCCAGCAAACCGGGTATTTGATTTGAAAAGTGATTTCAAAAAGGGGATCAGAGTTGGCCATATGAGAACCTAACAGTTCGTAGCTCTACCCAGATTCAGTCCACCTCCGAATCAGCTAGCGAGCACACCTAAAAAATAGTACACGTACGTTAAAAAAAAATTCAGTAAATCGTCGGTTGTGTCTCCATCAGCTCTCATCGAAATTGAAAATTGAATTAATTTTTCTGAATTAATTTTTGGTGAAATATTTTTTCAATTTCGTTCGCGAAAGTTGACCCAAAACCCTCGTCAATATGCGTGAGATTGTGCACATCCAGGCTGGCCAGTGCGGCAACCAGATCGGAGGCAAGTTCTGGGAGGTGATTTCCGACGAGCATTGCATCGATGCTACCGGTACGTATTACGGAGACAGCGATCTGCAGCTGGAGCGCATCAATGTCTACTACAACGAGGCCACCGGTGCCAAGTACGTGCCTCGAGCCATCTTGGTTGATCTTGAGCCCGGCACCATGGACTCTGTCCGCTCGGGAGCCTTTGGCCAGATCTTCCGCCCGGACAACTTTGTGTTCGGTCAGTCGGGAGCCGGCAACAACTGGGCCAAGGGTCACTACACCGAAGGTGCCGAGCTGGTTGATTCCGTCTTGGATGTGGTCCGCAAGGAATCGGAGGGCTGCGATTGCCTCCAGGTAAGTGAAACCCTCTCCTTGAAAGTTAATCCCAAATGCAATCTTTTCTTTAACAGGGCTTCCAGCTTACTCACTCTCTGGGTGGCGGCACTGGCTCCGGCATGGGCACCCTGCTCATTTCAAAGATCCGTGAGGAGTACCCCGACCGTATCATGAACACCTTCTCGGTGGTGCCGTCGCCTAAGGTGTCCGATACCGTTGTAGAGCCGTACAATGCCACCCTCAGTGTGCACCAGCTGGTGGAGAACACGGACGAAACGTACTGCATCGACAACGAGGCACTGTACGACATCTGCTTCCGCACGCTGAAGCTGACCACGCCGACATACGGTGACCTGAACCACTTGGTCTCGGCCACAATGTCGGGGGTAACCACGTGCCTGCGCTTCCCCGGCCAGCTGAACGCCGATCTGCGCAAGCTGGCCGTGAACATGGTGCCCTTCCCCCGGCTGCACTTCTTCATGCCCGGGTTCGCACCCCTCACATCCCGCGGCTCCCAGCAGTACCGGGCCCTGACCGTGCCCGAGCTGACCCAGCAGATGTTCGATGCCAAGAACATGATGGCCGCCTGTGACCCCCGGCACGGCCGTTACCTCACCGTAGCCGCCATCTTCCGTGGCCGCATGTCCATGAAGGAGGTGGACGAGCAGATGCTCAATATCCAGAACAAGAACAGCAGCTTCTTCGTCGAGTGGATCCCCAACAACTGCAAGACAGCGGTGTGCGACATCCCGCCCCGAGGTCTGAAGATGTCGGCCACTTTCATCGGCAACTCGACTGCCATCCAGGAGCTTTTCAAGCGGGTGTCCGAGCAGTTCACGGCCATGTTTCGGCGAAAGGCTTTCCTTCACTGGTACACCGGTGAGGGCATGGACGAGATGGAGTTCACTGAAGCCGAGAGCAACATGAACGATCTGGTGTCGGAGTACCAGCAGTACCAGGAGGCCACCGCCGACGAGGAGGGCGAGTTCGACGAAGATGAGGAGGGTGGCGGCGATGAATAGATACTTATACATATACTAATTACGACAACACACCATCAAGCACCCAACACTGTGTCCCGCAGACGCCCCAAATCAACACTGATGCTAGCGGACAACAACGAGCGCAGCCCTTCAAGAAGTACACAGAACGAACACCTTTATCTTTTAATGTCGGTTGTACATATTTCCATAAGTTGTTGGTCTTTGTGAGATCGTGCGTCACACTACCTATTCACTTACTACACCCTTTTGTGTTGCAATTGCTGTCTATTGGAGTTAAACAAATAAAACTGGTTGGTGACCACTGAAAAGTAATAATTTTGATGAATTTTTATTGATTAATTATCGATTATTATCGATTAAATTGATTAAAGAAACAACGGATCGTGCTCTACACAACCCATTTACGCTCTTTTATGTTGCAATGTCTATCTATTGGAGATTATGAAATAAAACTTGTTGGTAAACTTAAAAAAATCCAAAAAAGAAACCATAAAAGTATCATAAAAAACGAATACTTTTGGCGGGCTTTTGTTCGTAACCTCAAAAAGACAAACGTATGGTTGCTTTAATCGAAAAATTATCAATTAAATTGCTTTAAGGATGGCAATACTAGAGATCGTGGACCGAAAAACCCAATCACACCCTTTTGTGTTTCAATTGCTATCTATTGGAGATTCACAAATAAAACTTGTTGGTAAACCATAAAAAAAGTAACAATTTTGGCGCATTTTTTGTTCCTAACCTCAAAAGAAAAGTGTTGCTTTAATCAAAAAATTATCAATTAAATTTCTTTAAGGATGGCAATACTAGAAGCTTGACAGTCTCTTAACCTGTCAAATGACCTGTCATTTTTGATTTCCTTTTTCACCCAAACTTCCGTCGGAGGCACACGGAAAAAAACCAGAACGCGGAAAATGGACTGGCCGGATACTCCTCTGACCTCCCGAAGCAGATTGCAACGTGGACGTAAACGGATGAAGCCGCATCCCATAACCAAGCTCCAAAAAAAGGATCCCGAACCCAAAAAGATGAAACCGAATTACGTCGAAGAGTCACCAGAGGACACCAAGAAACCCGAAGAATCAAACATTCGCCGGACGAGGGCATCATTAAAGATCGAGGCAAACAAGGGTATGGCCAAGAGCAAGGAACCGAAAAAGATGAAACCAAATAACGTCGAAGAGTCACCAGAGGACACCAAGGAACCCGAAGAATCAAACATTCGCCGGACGAGGGCATCATTAAAGATCGAGGCAAACAAGGGTATGGCCAAGAGCAAGGAACCCAAAAAGATGAAACCAACTTACGTCGAAGAGTCACCGGAGGACACCAAGGGACCCGAAGAATCAAACATTCGCCGAACGAAGGCATCATTAAAGATCGAAGCAAACAAGCGTATGGCCGAGGAAAAGGAAATCCCACAGCCGCGGCGCCGTTCCCAGAGATTGATCGAGTTATACCAGTCAGAGTTATTAGAGTAAAAAAGAAGAGTTATTTGATTCTAGTGGTTTATTCAATCGAATGGTGTACATTGGAGTGAAGGAACAGAAGCAGCAGTTGCAGCGGAAACTTAAGCCAGACTACGCATTAACTACGGAACATGAGATATTTGGTTACGATTTATAAAATAAACGCATCCTTTTTTTTGAACCTAAACGTCGTCAAAGAGTCCTCGGGGTGGTGGGCCGACAATGCGGCGGTCGTGCTCCGCCTCGTAGTCGGGATCTCGGAATCCCACCTGCACCTGAGTGCTGACACCGAACCGGTCGTTGATCTCCTCCGACAAGGATCTCGGTACGCCCAGTGCTGAGGAGGAGGAGACTGCCGCATAGTCGAAGGTGCCGTCGCCATCGCGCAGCAGGCCATCGGCTGGGGTGCGACTACTGGTGAGAGCACTGGCTCCTCCGCTTCGGTATTTGCTTAGATAATCACTTCCGCTGCCCAGAACTGGATCTGGTCGTCCGAAATCTCGGCGCCTGGCCATCGCCTCCTCGGCTCGCTGGCGGCGTCGTTTTTCGCGTGCTATCAGATCCTTGCCTTCCTGCACCAGTTCCGTGGCGATCGTCTCGTTTTGCAGAAACTGCTGGAATCCAAGCGCATTCAAAGCCCGGCTGCCAAGGCTGAACCAGGTGGCCAAACAGAAGGCCAGCATGCACATGGGGAAGTAGATGTTGAAGCCGTTCGAAATGATCCCAATTACATTCATGTGGCCCATGATCTGGGTGTAGTAGGTTTCCATACTGTTCGTGTCCATGTGAATCAGACCCAGGAAGTTGAGGCACATGGGTGGCGTCAGACGACAGAGGAGCATGCCGCTAAAAATCAGACTGTGCTCGTTGGTCTGGTGATGTGGCGCCAGGTAGTACAGGTTTAGGAAGCGAATCCTCAGAATGGTGGAGTAAGTGCAGTAGAAGAAGTAGCAGAGAACTATCATCGAAAAGATCTCGATGGTCAAGAAGTCGTAGCTATCCTTGGCCACGTTGATCACATTGGCGAACACCGAGAGCACTGGCTTGCGGCTGAAAAAAGTCAGCTCACTCCAGACCACTACGGCGGACATGGTGGCAGTCAGGACGCACAAGCTCTTAAGGTATGGAGCCTTCAGCAAACATTCCCAATACCACTGCAGAGTTGCACTGTAGAACATTTTTTCTATTTGGGAGCGCTGTCGGGGGAATTCTGTCTTAAAACGTCGCTCGGACGAGTGGATATTCCGTGCCACGTCCTCCAAGTGCAGCACCGTCTGCACCTGGACACTCCAAAGCGCCTCGGTGCGCTGCAGCGTCTGCAGGGACTTGATCACCTGCTTGTGGATGCGCACGAGGGCCTTCTCTGATGGCAAAATGGTGGAACTAGTGGCTCCCATACCACTGCCACCGGTGCGGGCGAAGTTCCGACTGGCCCGCTCCTGCAGTTCAATCGGCACTTTGCGCAGAATCGTCTCCAGGCAAGGGCGTAGTTCGTGATTGTTGGGGATCACCCGGCTGATGCACTGTAGTGACTCCAGAATGTCGTCGACGTGCTCCTCAGCTTCCGCCTTTTCGGTACTCAGCTTGGCTGCTTTGAAGTAAGCGTATTGCAGTGCGAATCCCGGCTTCGCGTTGTTCCACAGCGAACGTGGTACCTCCACGAGGGCGTATCCCAACAGCAGGATGAGAAGAAACAGACCCCAGGTGTTGGAAGCCGATGATGCAATGGCTTTCAGTTTTTGCCAATCCAAAGACTCTCCTTTCACGGCAATGTATATAAGCAGAACGCCGCAGATGAACAAGTAAGATCCATAGTAGATGGCGTTTTCAATCAACGCCGATTTAAGTTTTCCCTTCACCGTAAAGTCCCCAGCCTTTAGATATGACTGCATCAGGGGCATGATTAACCAGGTCAGGAACTGTGAGCTCCAGTAGATGATGCGCCATAGGTTGGGAAATACGGTGGGCGGAACCATACCCCAGGGTTCCTGGCACTCTGTTGGCTGAGGGGGTGTCGGTGTCACATTTGCGGTTGCTGTGTTGCTGATATTGCTGGGTGCTGGAGTGGGTGCTTGGTGCTCGTTCACGCATTGGCGATAAAGTGTCTGAAATGAGGATGATTTGAATTAATTTGAATAGTTACTATATTAAGTATTATATCAAAAGTTTCATTAGAAGTAAGGCAAGCCAAATCAAAGAGTTTTATTTTTCAGAACACAGTGAATCACACTGGAGATAAGAAAGACATTTTAATGGAATTTGCAAAGATAATAATGCTTTAAAGGCTTTAGATAAAATTGAAAGCAAAATTGATTTAAAATCTGGATATCTATACTCAGTTTTTATAGACCATATGGTAAAAAACAAATAATATTTTACTGCTCTGCCTTAAATTTCAAATAAAACTTTGTAATCTTTAAATTTGCGCACATACCGAGGTGACATCGAGTGGTATTGCAAAGACTATCAGGAACGAGAAACACCAGGCTGTCAGCACGGAGAGCGTGACCAAAATGTGCTGTCGTGGTATGTTTCCATACCGGTACAACGAGATGCCGGCCAGGAAGAGGGCGGCGACGATGCCGAAGGTCAGCAAATTGGCCATTATATGATCTCAAACTGAATAAAAATCCGGAGAGAGTGCGAGTGCTGTTGTGCTTGATGTGTATGTGCTTTACGACTAAAGTCCTCCTCCTGGTGACTAATTCATTGCGAGCCTGCGGGCTCGCTGACTTTTTTGTGGCTGCTGCTGGTGCTGCGTTTTTTTTGCAGTTGGCGCGCAGTTTCGCGATGCATTTCCTCAAGACGTTCCAGCGCCTGCGTCTTCAGCGGCATCAGGTGCGGCCGGCAGAAGACCAGCTCTGCTTTATGCTCGAAAAACAATTTTCCGGTGGTGGGCTCAATCAGATCGATTTTCTCAGACACTTTCCTTAGCACCTCGGCCTCCACAGCGGACATGCTGCGTCCTTCGACGGCAAGAGGTGCGCGGTTCTTCAATTTGAGTTTAAGAAATTCAAGAAGCTGTCTAACCGTCTATTTCCACGTCGTTTTATTTATTTGTTTTATTTATACCGTCAATCATCGACTTTGTTAAAGAGTGTGTACCTACCGGAATATTGGAATAATTACATATATTTTCGTGTGGCAACACTGCCCTGCCTGCGTTGCCAGATCGCAACTGTGGATTGATCTGGCAACTCCAACCCACTGTTTTTGTTTTGCTGGCACAGCCAGAAAAATTCTTAATTTGATTTTAGAAAATTAGTTCGCTGGCCTTGCCAAGACTGTCAAGCAATGGAGGCGGATGGAGTGGCTTCAAGGACGGACAAGTCCCCGGATTGTCGCACCAGCGGAGACGGAATGGAGCAGCCGGAAAACAATGGTGGAACTAAGCTGGAAAGTGAAATCGACCAAATTGGTGACTCGGCGGTCAAGAGGTCACAAGTGAAGAGGCCTCAGTTGTCGCGCAAGGACAGCACGGTCATACAGGAGACGGTCATGGGCCGGAAGACATCCACTGGAAGCGGCAGTGTCTCCAACTTACCCCTTCCAGGCCTCCACACCCTCTACAGGCGACCAGAGATCGTCACCAGGAGTCTGGCTCCAGTGATGCCCAAGGGAGAGCTGGTGCAGATGCGACCCCGATTGGTGTCCACACAACACGACCACCTGCCCGAGCACAAGAAGAGCAAGACTCCAAAGTTCGTTCCATTTGAACCATATCCGGGAGCCGTGAATCCCATGACTTCTGCGCCTGTAAACAAACACAAAATCCATCGGGATAAGAACAACCTCGATATTGGGGTGTTGGTGGATCAGGTTTCCACCCTGCGAACGCAAGAACTGGATGCTGAGCCCAAGGGCACCAGCACGGAATCGAATAGCCAGGAATTGGATGCTCTTAAGGAGGAACTGGCCAAGATGCGTGAGGAAAGGGACTATTTCCAGGCGCAATACAAGTTCCAAACGCAGGTCAACAGTGAGCTAAAGAGCCTGTTGGTAGCTTCCGTGGGCGAGGACCTTCAAACTCGCGTTAACGTCCTCACAGAGGACAAACTGCAGCTGGCACGGGCGCTCCTCGACACCGCCAACAACCTTACAACCCACACCGAGCAGATTGAGTTCCTGGCCGGTCAGTGTGAGGTGTGGCGCTCCAAGTTTCTGGCCAGCAGTGTCATGGTCGAGGAGCTGGCCCGCTGGAAGGCTGATCTCACGCAGAAAAATCAATTGTTAAACGAGTCGACCAAGCAACTACTTCATGCCACCCACCAGATACGAGAAATGCAACTGGAAATGCTAAAGCAGCTCAAGTTCCTGGCCAAGATCCGATATTTGAACCTGCCCGCCACTGATGTAATCAGTCTCAGTGCTGAGAATCTCAACATCCTGCAGCGGATGGTTCTACACACGGGTGTGGGTATTCCCGAGGAGACCATTAAGCTTTCCAGTGCTAGTACAAGTCCGCTGTGTGAGGCAGAAAAGTATGCAGTTAGGGTAAGTAAAGAATGTTTTGTTGGCCATTATGGAATAAAAAACATTGTATTACTTCCCCTTAGGCACTGGAGTTCATTAGCCAACCTCTTATGGCCACCGATGAGGCCATACGCGCCCTTTTCGACCAGGCCCAGCGACCTCATTACGTGCAATCTCCTGGCTCAGAGGTGGCTTCCAGCGACAAACCACAAGCAGAGCCACAGCAATAGTTTGTTTTCCGTAAGAAATTTTGTGTAAAGTGTGCTTAGGTCTAATAAATTTTATATTTAATTATACAATCCATTAAAGTCCACGGATTATGTAAATTATTTCGACTTCTTTTCGGTGGCATATAGGTCTAGACGACGCTGGTTGAATACGGGAATTTGCTGACGCACTTGATCCACCAGGGAGAAGTCAACGTCCGCCACCACAAGCTCCTCACCGTCACCGGCACTTGCCTGCACCTTGGCCCAGGGATCGACGACCATGGAATGGCCATACGCAACATACTCGGCGTTGGTATCCCTGGCCGGAGAAGTCGTTACCACAAAGAGCTGGTTGTCGTTGGCTCGACTTCGCTGCAGAAGTTCCCAGTGAAGTGGACCAGTGGTCATGTTAAATGCCGCTGGGTAGATGATCATCTTGCAACCTTCATTGCGATAGAGGCGTGCCATCTCCTCAAAGCGGATGTCGTAGCAGATGCCAATGCCGATTTTATGGCCGTCCACTTCGATTGTGGTGAAGTCATTGCCGGCGGACAGAGTTTCGGATTCCTTGAAGCGGATTCCACCCTTTACGTCGATGTCGAACAAATGCATCTTGCGGTGCTTAGCAATAAGATCTCCTGTGGGAGACCACACAGTGCACGTATTATAGATTGCATCATTTTCGCCAAGCTCCGGAATAGTCCCTCCTACGATGTAAACCTGATGTTTTTTGGCGAGACTGGAAAGCTGCTGCGAGGTAAACCCATCCGGGATGCTCTCGGAGTACTCCCGGAAATATTTAGTGCCGTAGGGAGCGTTGAAGCACTCGGGAAGGGTGATTAAACGAGGCTTGTGTACCTTTACCGCAGCCTCGATTTTGTTGACGGCGTTTTGGACATTGGCCGTCTTGTCCTTGGAACCCCTCAGCTGTAGAAGGACTAGACGCATGACTGTGGGATGGAGAGGATATTAATTACAACTCCGAGAGACTGGAATAATCCCTTACTATTGCCCGCTTTGCTCATAATGCCACAATTAATTGTTATCAAGTTGTTTGCGTTATGATAACAATTCGCACAACAACAACAGGTGATTCCATGGATGTAGAAAAGGGGTTGCAACTAATTGATTAGTGATGATACTTCAAGACAATACTTCCAAATAATACCAAAAAATTAAATAATTAAAATGTTTGCCCATTTTTCAAACAAAATGTCTATATTTTATAAAATATGTGCCAAATTGTTTAAATGGACTACCCTAAATAATAGTATTTAAAACAATCAACAGTATTGGGTAATGGCGATAAAAGGTAAGCGCAGCCAAGTTCAAGTCGTAGAGCGGCAGGGTTGCCACCTCTCTTTCTTGTTTCGTCTCTTTTGAGGTATGCACGTGTTCATTTTCTAAGTTTTAAAAAACTAACTGAAATTGGCAGAAAACCAATTGGAAAATACTCCAAAAATCAGTTCCACCTGTTGATACACCGGAGCGAAGTTTAACTTACAATGGTTTTTTCTAATTTTACATATTCTGTCGACGAATTTACTCGACCTGCAGCAACAACAACAAAATGGTTCAACGTCTGACGCTGAGGAGACGCCTGTCCTACAACACACGCTCCAACAGGAGGCGCATGTAACTACTAACTAATCCAATCCTAACCGGCTTTAAACTCACTCTCGGATCTTTTGCCTTTTAGTGTGCGCACTCCCGGAGGACGTCTGGTCTACCAGTACGTCAAGAAGAACAAAACCGTTCCCCGTTGTGGACAGTGCAAGGAGAAGCTTAAGGGCATCACCCCCTCTCGTCCCAGCGAGCGCCCCCGCCTGTCCAAGCGCCACAAGACCGTGTCGCGCACCTACGGCGGTGTCCTCTGCCACGGTTGCCTGCGCGAGCGCATCGTCCGCGCCTTCCTGATCGAGGAACAGAAGATCGTCAAAGCTCTGAAGAGCCAGCGCGAGGCCCTCGTTAAGCCTGTGAAGGCCCCCAAGGCAAAGCCCGATCCCAAGAAGAAGCCCGCCGCCAAGGCCACCAAGGCCGGTGCCGGCAAGGTCACCAAGGGAGGTGCTGGCAAGGGACCCGCCAAGAAGCCCGGCCAGAAACCCGCTGCCGGTGGCAAGCCAAGGAAGTGAACCCGCAATACTACGCAGAGTTGACTACTAAATGATAACTTTTAAAATAAATGATTTTTTCCCACGAACTTCCTCCCGTTGTATTCGTTTCTGGAACTAATTTCTTGGCCACTGGAAGTGTTACTTCTAGTATGGAATTTATTCTTTTTCTCAGAACTTTTTTATTTTAAACAATCTTTTATCGAAAAGCTTCATTCAAAATATTTGTATATTTAACTTTATGCCAGGGTGGAGAGTACCAATAAGGGTTAAAAGCTTTCTTATGATGTGACCAAATGATTTTATACTATTCGAGTCGGTCTGGCAACTCCCTTGAAATCAGCTGTTCGTTAAAAAGAATCACGTAAGAAATCTGGGTTTGTTTTTATTTATTTTAAAAGCCTTTACTAAAACATATTCCTTTACTAAGGATGGCAACTAAGGTTCTACGCTCCCTTTTGCACGAGCTGCGTCAGGCCTCGCCCAACGGCTGCATCAAGGACTCGCTGGCGGCCCGGTACATTCTCGCCCAGTACAAGAAGTTTGAGACCACGGACCAGCAACTGTGCAAGCGCCGCGACGAGGCTCTCTTCTTGGGTCAGGCCTACCTTACCTACCTGAGCAGCCAACGCAAGTACACGGAGCTGTACAAGGAGTACCACGGGAGGGGCGAGCGATCCGTGAGGGATACTGCGGACCTGGTGGGGTTCAAGCTGCCCACAGATCCCAAGTGATGTTCTAGTTAAGTTGTTTCTACATATGTAGCTATTAGTGTGATTAAAGCGACTAATTTTGTCAAAATCTCGTGCGTCTACTGAATCATCTGTCGCAACATGGTGATGGCTCGATAAATAACGCTCATCAGCTGAAAGAGAATAGTTAAATAAGTTAATATTTAGATCCCAAAAAGGTCGATTTCCCTTGCCTGCTTAAAAGTGTCCAGCGAGATAGGCAAGTAACCCATGGCGTTCAACTCCACCGGTTTTTGGGATCGAATAATGATTATAAGAAGGAATTTCTTATAGGACAAGGATGCGTTGTGGAAATTGTGGTTGTAAACAGCGTGGCTTATATATGCGCTCTGAAAGGGATGGGAATTATAGCATAAACAAATGAGAACTGAGACAATAACTAACCAAGTCGAGAACCTGCTGTCCATGATAACAAACCAGGTACATCTGGACCACAGAGGTGCCAATAAAAATCACATAGGTAACGCCCTCCAAGTTAAGTCCTTGTATCAGAGTGTATACCGAAACCGTACAGAGAACCGAGGCTGTGCTGAGAAGGCTTAGGAGTAGGGAGCTACCAAATATTGAATTCAGGTCTGTTTGTAGGCTGGGGTTGGAAGTATGTAAGATTAAAAAAAACAAGAAAGAGTATTTGAATCCTTACTTCACCAGATAGTGGTGCTTGTCCACTATCTTCGACAAAAAGTGACGATCAGCGACATCGTTTTCCCATCTAGGCTGGTAGTCCTCTATGGATTTTATCATGGCCCTAAGGTGCATGCATATCTGCACTTGAAAGTAAATCAGCCACATATCTGTGGCGATATTGGATATAACCATCTGGGTGCTGTGCAGCCACTCTAGAGCATAGATGCCAACGTAGATCCATACTGAATGTTTCTCGGGATTGAATATAAAGTAGGGATAGCAATGCATATAGGTAAATTTTTCATGAAAAAAGTAAACCCAAATGGATGTAAGCATCGGACCAACGACTACCATAATAGAAGATCCTACGTAGAACCTGATGAGGTACAACAAGGTTCGTGACCAGAAGTGATCATTGACGCGGTAATAGATCCTATCCAGTGTGGTCTTTGGATACAGGTCGGCCAACTTGTTGTTTAGACTCTGGATGGCAGCTCTCTGCAGAACGGTTCCGTATTTTGTGTCCGAGTTAACTACATACGTTACCAAAGTGGCGTAGCGCATAACCAAGGAAACGCTGTCGATAGTTTTCATCTCAAACAGCCGGAAAAACATGAATCCCAAGCAGACACAGTGACTGCCGAGGCAAAGAACTCGATAGAGTTGCATCATTATCCTTTGAAGGCGCGTCCTGGTGGTTTCCAGCATGTCGTAGCCCATCAAGCGGAACAAGGAGCTGGGCATCTCGGCGAAATCCTCGTAACTATACTGAACAGATTGCATGGCGACTAATTTCTGTGGGCCATTTTGAAATGGAAGCCATATTTATAGATTCTGGATCCTGCAAGAATGGGTTGCGGTTTTTTATTTCTATTTTTAAATCCTAGATAGTTGTACCTTCGTGTTAATAATTTGCTAAGGCGTCAATATATTTTAATAATTTACATTGTGGTTTTATTAATAAGTAATTAAATTGTTCATATTATTGGCAATAGCTTTTAAAAGGGTGACCCAAAATGTTCCCTATTTTATTGCTTAAAATACTTGACCAAAGAACAGAGAAGAATATATAGTAAGTCTTAAAATTAACATTAATTAAGAGCAATTGAATCAAAGTTGCAATAAACAAGGTCAATCAAGTTGGACTTTTAATGGGTATTTTTATAATAATCATGAAAAGGCTCCACTAGTCTGAGCCTTCTTTTTAATAAGGTTCAAGGCTAAGGAGTGAGAAGGTCTTGTGGTTTCACACCTTGGGCGTTTAAATAAAACCATTAAAGCCCTGACTAACACAGAATTATAGGATGTCTGATTACAGTTTCTGTATAATTTTTATTTAAGTCGAGTTCATTAATGAGATATCTCTGTTTTTATAGCTGCCTACCCTTCTGCATTTACCCATAAAAATATTTATGCATAATAATGCTTTTAAAGAGAAGGGGTCACTGAAGCCTGCACTTAATAATTTCCATAAATGAGCTTCTCAGTTCTCTTGGGTGTATTTACCGTTTCTTTCTTTGTTGCTGTCGCTGCACTTGTCGCAGTGGTTGCTTTTGTTGTTGACAAATAAATGAAATTCCTTCACACAGCAACAAATTGGCATGGGAGTTGGGTGCTGGGTCCCCCCCGTCTATATGGGTTCTATCTGGAAGGTCTGACTGGAATGCAAAGCAGCTGAAAGGTGTCTGGACGCTCAGACACTCAACCAGAAGATATTGCCAAAAAGTATTATTTCTTAATGCTTCTAGAATTGAGATAATAAATGGTTTTTGTTTTGATTTTCTTGCTCAATTGTAGACCTAGATGATCTAGCCATTTATTGCTGTCACGGTATTGCACAATTTCCAAGTCGGTCAGCAGCTATTGTTTGTCAAGTTCCCATTACTGAAAGACCAAGACATCCGTATATATATACGAGTTTATATACTCTGGGGTTCCGACCCATGTTGAACTTCTCTCATCAATTTTACGGTCTTACACTGCATATGTTATTTATTCATTAGTTTCAATTGGCAACCCGACCAACTGTTGCCTCTCCATCTCCCTGACTACACTGATGCCCTATATCCGCTAAAAATTGCACTAGCCTAGCCCCCTAGATCCCGAACATTAATGGGACGTTTGAATAGATTTATGTGTGTGACATGTCTGCTTAAATTAGATGCAAATATTTAGGCCGTCTCTCTACTTATAGTTGGCCCATTTAATCCGAGAGAGAGAGAGAGATGTCTTCAAAGAGACTGCCGCTCGAATCCATCAGGTTATCCGCAAACAAAAAATGAAATAGAAATCATGTCGAGTCATAAGGACACCGGAAAGTGCCTGGTGTCGGAGTCGCCATCTCACTAAATACTTTATGAGTCTGAGGCGCCTGCATTATTCTTTTTTCCCAGCGTCTAGCTTCAACTAAAATAAACACAGCACACCCGGACCCCGACCCAGAACCCAGAAGAAAACACGACAGGAAAAACAACAACAGCACCAGTACCAGGAGAGATGAATGGCCGGTGGAACAAAGAGCCAGAAGAGAGTCAGACATGGGCAACAGGCTGGCTGTCTGGGCCTGGCTAAAAGGATGGGGCCGGTTTGGGGCGGCAATCAAATCAATGGTCAGGGGTTTTGTCCACCAACACGGCAACATTAATCGCCATAAAGTACAATTTCTCACACCCCCTCGCAGAAGTACCGATGCGATTTCAATATCCATTATTCCACCAGGGGATGAGTTTGCCCGGCTGGGCTTTGCAGGGTTTGCATTATGCTTCGCCAGTATCTCATCCAACCACAAGGACAACAAAGGACACGAGCAGCAGGAAAGCTGATGTTGGCTGCGCTTTTCACTTTCCCATTTATTAATGAATTTATTGGCCCGACTGCAGTTGACGAGCAAATGCATTTTCCCATTTATCAGCATTCGAAATGGGGGGGGAACTCAAATGGAAATAGCATCTGTTTTGGGCGTTGTGGGTGGTGGGATCAGGATCCGGGGAACGGGTCAAGGGTAGATCTACGCATAGCATTTATCAAAGCTTTTGTTTTGGTTACATTTCAGCTGCTTCCGTTGCCAGGACGAATGTTTTGGTGGGTGGTGTTCCTGGTGGTGGTGTTGCTAATGGCCTGGACTGTCTCTCGATTCTGGCAGCTGTCGCACGAAAGTGCTGAGCCTTTGTAATTAATAGTGCGGAAATTTTGTAATTCTAGGATTACAATAGACATTACCGCGTGGAACTTTCATTGTCATTAGAGGACTATTTTTAGGACCTTTGATGTCAAGTGATGTTTACTTTTGATAGGTAATTGTAGGTCTATTTCAGAAAGTGAGAATATTTGTACCTTTTGACCTCTTAAAGTTAAATTTTTTTCACTTAAAACCAGAACCAATTAAGCGGTAGAATACCAAGTAATTCTCAGTAATATATATTATCTCATAAAAAATTATAGCATCCAGGGATTTGACTCACATAAGCCTGATATTATAACCAAAAAGGTCAACTGTCATTCCCCTAATAGAGGGCGGCAGTAATGACCAAACAGAAATAAACAAAACAAATAAGACTAATCCCTTAAAAACCCTATAAATCCTATATTGAAGTCCATTCCACGATGACTTTTATTTGAGGGAAATGTTTGTTGGGTTGCCAGAAACCGGTTCTCCTTCGTGATTCATTAAAACTATAATATAATCCTTCAATAGTCCTCCAATATTTTATCCTTATCCGTTACCTAATAGAGCCTTGCTAAAGTTTTCTATAAGGAACCGTCCCTTATAAGCCTAATTTAGTAGGCCATTACAGGCAAATTTTCGTCGATGAATGAAATTTTATTCATTTTTGGTAAAAAATCGTGACATATGTAACTTAAAAAGTTGCAAAATTTATCATAAATTTGATATGCCTAGAAATACTACTAAATATTGTTGAATACTACAACTTTTATACTACTTTTCTACTACTACTACTACTTTTATACTACGAAATCAGAAATCTGTTCGAAACTTTCTCTGCAACTGGCCGACGAACTCAAACTTGGTTCGAGTGCGGAATTTTGGTTCGACGAGCGCCAGTGCTGAGCAATTTCGAACAGAAAGTCGCGCGCGATTTTGGTTCGAATCGAACCTTAGGCTCGAAAGTAGTCGAAGAAAAGTACTCGAGTTGGTCGGTCGCGGATTTCTCGGTGCGGACAGGTACACTTCGTTCGGGCCTGGTTTAAATACGCTTCGATTTCGATTCGATCTGATACAGAGCCGTGTTCACTGTTTTCCGCGCTGTGGCGGCCGTAAAAGGCCTTTTTTAAGAATTTTTAAGAATTCACCCTCGTCGCAGTCACCGTCGCGTTTCTCGGGCTCTGATAAAGCCTTTGATACGATAACGATCTATATATAATTATGATTGTGCAGAGAATTGTGCTCTGATTACGCAAATTGCAAGTGACAACCGTCGGCAGAGCATTCTCCGGTAAATGAAGTTCCCCCCCTTGAGTGCTCCCCTCAAAAAAAAATGATATATTTGAGCATGCACCTTATAGCGGTTACCCGCCACTAAAAATTGTTATTTACATTTTTAATTTATATAACGGTGGTGTTAGTGCTGTTCTGGTTCTGATTGCCGATCTGGGGATGCTCCCCCAGATCCCAGTTGTGGTTGTTGCTGCTGTCTAACCCGTTTATACTTTACTCGACTTGGCCAAGCGGAGGAGATGTGCCTGTGCCTGTTCTGGCTAACCAAGTGCTGGCCAAGATAAAGAGAGAAAGAGACACGCACATACAAAAACAATGCATCAAGTTGTTGTTCTGATGCATCCATGTATCTGTAAGATACACGTACTTGCCGCACACACCTTCTGCTGTGTTTCCTTATTGACTTTGCCTCTGTCCCCTGCCTACATCCCCAGGCCCCTAGTCCGATACCATTCCCATTCCCGTGCCCGTTCCCTTCGTCTTGGGGCAATGTTTATTTTTGTTTGCTCGCCCAGCAAGCGGGAAAAACAAGTTTTTTTCTTTGAAACCAAAACAACAACCACTGACGATGAAGCTGAAGCACTAGCACCACCACCAGCACCACTGGCAGGAGCAGCAACTGCGCCGCAGTTTGGCTCGCTTTGCTTTGGAAAATACATTTTTTTGTGAAAAGTTCAAGTGAAGACAACTGTTGCATTCAAAATACCAAAAAGTAGATATACATTTAACCATACATATATCCTCCATATAGGCAGTGTTAATTAGCGGCCAGTGGCGGATAAAAAGCATATGCCAGTGACTCAAATGAAGTCGTTTATCAAAAGCCGTGTAATTAGCAAATGTCGCGACATACATATGCTGGCCAAGCATAAAAAAACCCGAAACAGCCACCAACAAGAAATGTCAACGCATGTGAAAGTTTATTTATCAAAAAAGTAAAATAAAAAAAGAGTAAAAAAACAAGTGTGTGACATAAATAATTGATTTCAGTGAGGCGACAAAGAGCAACGCCACAAATATTTGCATGCAACAAGTGTTTGCCATATGTCCGCCCGCTTCGGTTTCGAGTTCGAGTTCGGTTTCCCCCTGGGCGTATTTTTTCATGTGTTTATTGTGCAATTTACTCAAGTGACCCCATGCACTTCCCCCTCGACTCGCTGCCCCAAGATCCATTGCTGGATTTCCCTTTAAATGCCACAACGATAACACCAGTTCTGAATCATTTCGTATATCTCGCAGAGAGCAAGAACACACAAAGGGTGTTGTTTCGAAACAAGAAAGAACCCAACAGAATGGGCTTCTCATCGGCCCTCCAGAGCCGTGCCGCCCACGAGGCGTTGATCGTGCGCCAGGACGCCGAGCTCCGCCTGATGGAGACCATGAAACGGTCCATCCAGCTGAAGGCCAAGTGCGACAAGGAGTACGCCACACAACTGACAGCCGTGGCCCAGCAGGGCCTCAAAATCGATCGGGCAGACGAAGTGCAAATGCAAGGTAAGGCCCATGATTCCCATTCAAGTATTTATGATATTTTCGAATCACAGTACTGATAAGATAAGTGTTTAAGCCAAATTGGTCAATTAAGATTTAGGGGAGTGCTCCGGCCGAATTCTCCAGCAGGTACGACACCTGTTTCACAAATATTTTCCAAGTATTTTCCAAGTATTCAGAATAGGTATTTAAGGTTAATGATCTTTTGTGAATAAAACCATTTAGATAAGCCACCATTCTGATATACGCCTTCATCCCTTCCTGTTCTTGATTGGGACGGCGTATGGTGTGAATTTTGGCAGCCAACTGCAGACTGGACCGAATCGCCAAAGGCAATCGCGTGACTCGATCGCATTTCCAAGTGAATAATACGCGCAGGGTTTTATTTGAAACGATTCGAGATAATCGCCAGACAAGCAAATTGTTTTCAACTACCGGGCTCTGTGTGGCATCATCATTCTATCCACCGGACAGGACTCCGACTCGTGTGTGTGTGTCTGTCGTGGTAATTGCCGCCCAGTTGTGGCAAAACGTTGTTCTAGCGTTCTGGCAGTTTCTCAAAGATACTTAGATACTAACTGCGACGACTGCACAACTTGCCAGCTGAGCTCATCAAAGTGTCGACGAAGTGCAGCTGCCTGGCTGGTCTCTACCCTCTTGGTATTTTTTTTTTTTTTTTTGCTATTACCAGATAGAACATCCATGCGATGTACACATGAAATTGCTATAATTTCCAGTCAGTGTCAGTTTTTGGCTTGGGAAATGTTTTCGTTGCTGTTTACATTGCCAAACAAACGTATCCGCTGGATGCGAGCGTACTACCACTACATCCAAAACAATAACATGGCGAAGCTAAATGATTTAGTTCGGGCCATTTGATAGTTCCACGGACTGCGACTTGCCTCTCTCACCTTGACCATGAACTTGAGGCGCCCGATTTGACTGCAATGAACTGGAGTTCGGCTTAGCGAAGCGCAAATATATATAATTTCCTACCAAAAACAGTCTCTGGTATTATGTTTCCATACGAAAACAGACCGCTCAGCAAACAGAAAAATATGCGTTAGGGTATGGAATGGTTGTATTCGAATCATATTGAAGAGAGACTCGCACGAGATGAATGATTCACAGAAGTTTCTTACGACTTCTATCCACAATTAACAAAGATTTGAATTAATTTTAGATTTTTAATGAATCAGAGTTTGTGGTTTTGTGCTTTACTAAGCTTAGTAGCCCGGGCACTAATAAAGATATTGTTTATCGGTTTATTACGCACGTATATCCGCAGTACTTGGATAAACAGACTTTGTTTTCTCATTGCAGGTAGCCTTATCACCAAATCCTGGCGATCTTACATGGATGAAGTGGACCAGCAGGCCAAACAATTCAAATACAATGCCGAACAACTGGAAGTTGTTTGCGAAAAACTCTCACATCTGTCGCAGGACAAGCGGAAAGCCCGGAAAGCCTATCAGGAAGAGCATGCGAAAATTGCGGCCCGTCTGAATCATGTGAGTGTCGCACCCAAAATATTCATTAAAAAAACGTGAATAAGACGCACCCAAAAGCTGAAACACTGAGAGTTAAGATAGACACATTTTTACGAAAGGTTTTTATAAGAAATAATATCTTAACTGATGATAGAAGTATCAAAGACTTGTCTATCTATGGCCTTCAAATTCCCGGCCTTTACGTTAATGTTTGTAGTTTGATTATTTTATTTTTTCAAGTGTTTAAATTTATTTATGATTACTGTTGAAGAGTCAATATATGCGACAGCAGTAATAATCCCTTGAAGCTTGGGGCTCCACGAGCCTGGATCTACGCCCACAGTGGCCTTTTGTTGTTCGGCTGCCTATTGTTCGACATTCTTATAGATACTTAATATTTTTATAATCAAAATAAATATTACGCTCTTCGGCGGAAAAGAAGAAACAACTTTGGGCCACAGCTAAGCAGCTTAAGAGTCTTGTAAACACTCCGCCAAAAATGAACGAGAACACCGATTGTCTTTGTGGTGGCCGCTAGCCAGTCCCGATGTACTAAATCAATAGAAGTGTTTATTTATGAGCCGTGTCGTGAGGCAACAAGTTTATTAACCCACCGGGCAGAATATTGGTCCTAAGACAAAAAAACACCAGCAACACGAGCATAACAAAGGGTCAACAAATTGTTAATATTCACGGGTGCTGACAGCAAATTAGCATTTGACAGCCCCAGAGACCTTTGAGGCAAAACTTTTAGTCAAGTACGAAGTAGGTTTATGTTTAGTTTCGGCCAACGTGCGACATGTTGCCGGATTCTAGTGCCAAAATGGCCGTTCTCGATGACCCCAAAAAAATGTTTTGTTTTGCGATTTTGACATAGAATTCGGTTTGGTCGCCGCTACTGTTTTGTATCTTCCTGCGGCCTTTGTCCACCGAAATCTAAACAAAAGTCTCGTTTGCCAGTGCATCGATCTATAGCCTTACTCTAGTATTATTTATTTATTTATTTATCTACCGAGATAGGTATCTATTTGTGTGGCCGTTTTGGTTTTTGCGCCGCAATTTCAACGGTGCCGTAGAAAATTGAATGGCCAGAAGAGAATGCCAATCAAAATTTCAACAATTTGTCGATGATTTCTTCTTTCCATCGTTAAACAATGTCTAATATCTGGAATTGCTTATTGCAGTTCAAAAGTTTAATGGGTTTGATGAAATGTTCGCCAAACTTAAGGCGATTTATTTGCAAAAAAAATGGGGAAAAATGGCGCTCCTTCAGTCGAGTTGAACGCCAATAAAGTGTAATCAAATAAGCAGCAAAGTTTGCAGCACACAACCCAATAAAAAAAAGGGTAAAAACTGGCAACAGCACATGCTCCAAACTTGCGCCAAGCTCCGGCTCGAGTCAATTGACAACAATTTAGTGAAATAGCAATAAAAATTACTAAGCAGACAGCAGCAGTACCAGAGGCAGCAGCAAAAAGCGATACACAATTCTGGGTAAGACTCCCCAGAAGATGTGTTGAGCTTGCCTTTGGCTGTGTCTTGAATCAGTTGAGCATTCATCTTGAGTTCTTAAATCCCCTCCAAAGATCTCTACAGAGAAAGATATCTTCCAGATACTTTAGTGTATTTTCTTAGGTGGCTTTTATAAGCCTCGAAGTCTTTAACAAAGAATAGTTCCCGGTGTATCTCTCCTTGGTTTTTCTGTGTTTCTTTATTGGACTTTGAGTTTGTAATATTTGCGCAATGAATTGAATAGAGCAGCAGCCATAACAGCAACCACAATAACAACAAAAACTTGAGTTATTGTCGATAGAGTGCGGGGCAAGCACTCATCGGAGAATTGTTGCTGTGTTGTTGATTTAATAAGTGTCTAGAAATGGGTCGCCGAGTCGGATACTAACCGACGTATCTACGTAACTTTGTATCTATCATAGGAGTGCGGTGTGGGCCACTGCAAATGGACGTCATGGAGGTAGGAATTGATTCTATATGGTGTTGATGGATTGAATTGCAATGTGGTGTTGATGGATTGGCGTTAGATTATTGGGAGCAGGCAAACAAGCAGCTCGTTTAAGATTGAAGAAAATTGATTAACACGCTATGCTTGGAATTAGAAAGCCTTTCAGACTATTCTTCACAGATGATAATAGCTTTTTACCCATTTACTGACCATAAAATGTACTTTAATTAGCTAATTGTTAGATAAATATGAATATTTATAGTAGTTCCTAACATGGTTAAATTTTAGGGGTCTCTCCGGGAAAACTAACTATCTTTATTACTGATGTAATAAAATTTCTTATCGGGCTTACTGTTTCCTGGAAAAGTTCCTATTTGCCAATGTAACTTGTCGGCAAAACTAATAAACATGTCTCCCTAAATTGGCCCTTATGTGAGCAGTGCATAAAAAGCAATCACTTAGTCAAAGCTGTCACCAAAATATTTAGAAATAACTGCGAGTTTGGTTATTAATTGAAAACACTTAAGGGCGTTGTAACCGCTTGTGGGAAGTATCCCAGCCCGGAATAGCACCACCCTGTGCTGGCCCGCACCGCAGCTAATGGATATGGAATTGCCTTTAATGTATCTTTGTATCTTTTGGCCTGTCAAATGTGCTGCACACACGCCCCCACAGATGCGGGAGTGGGCGAGCCAAAAACGCATTAGGGCTAGCACTGCGATTCAACTTCCGGGTGGGTTTTCCACCGCTTTTCCACATATGCCAGCTTTTCTGGGGCTTCACATATTTCTCGCCCTGCTGGCCGGCAGTATCTTTTGTATTGATAAACCGCAGAAGGCATGCTAAAAGGCCCCCAGACTCGTTCTGCAGCCTGAGATACATTTCAATCTGGTGGCATTGAAAATACGGCACCGATACGTACTAGTACTCGTACTCTTACTTGTACTCGTATTAATTACAATAAGTTCAATTCAAGTATCTTTATGGCATGACTGGCAATGGCAACTACAATCGGTCGTCTGTCTGATCGTCGTCTCTGGTATGCCAGATAAGCCGATAAGATATGGCTAATGGGGGGAGCCAGTCAGGGGGTCAAAAGGGGGTAGTCCAAACAGGCAAACAAACAAGCGAGAAGCAACAACAAAGAGCAACTCTACTGCAGGCGAATACGGTATACGGTAGCCACATCAAATGTATCTTTCAGCTGCACATGGCTACCCAGCGAGCCGGCCGCACTTGAAGATACTTAACGAATGGCATGCAAAGGCAAGCGCTTGATTGAAATTCTCCATTAAGCTCGCACAAATCGAGTCTAATGTAAAATGGGGGAGGTTTTTGTATTCCTATTGCTTCAGCGACGGCGCCAAAGTTTTATATTTTTTCCGTCCTAAATCCCCACACCACCAGGCATTCTCCCCCAAATCCGTTGGCGTCCTTTCAGTTGAGGCAATTGGCTTTACACACAAAAGCCTTTTGGACAAGCCATTTAATTGAGCTGCATTGACCTGAGCCCGGCAGTTCTCAAGTGTCTACAAAGTTTTCCCCCATGCATAATTGCCGCACGCACACACATCCGTAAGCCGGAGATAGGATGATATATGAGATATCCAAGAGATACATGCTCGAAAAGTTGTAGTACTGCATTTAGGATATTTTTTCTATAATATGAAACCATTTGATACTGTTTCTCCATGTGTACCTATCCGGATGTCTTTGACTGACTTAAGTTAATGCAAAACTAAAGTTGGGAAATGACTTTTGGGGTAATCTCGGAGGAAACTGAAACAATGCTATCGTGTGGCAGCTCTGGGAAACAGTTTCGCACCACAAGATAAATTGAGTCCCAAAACTGAGCCAAGTACAGGGTCACAAATGCGTTTCGTATATTACCATTTCTGGCCATAAATTCTCGATGTCTTGATCCCTAAATGCTATGCACATAAAATGCCAAAACAACTTAACTGTTTGCCGTCTGCGTGGGGGTTTTCGGGAGGGTTGCTAGAGGGTTAGACGCGAGGGGGACCCTGAAGACTGGAGCGACAACAGTTTCTTGACATTGCGACAAAAGCTGCACAAATTGCAGTCAGTCGGCAGTCCGGAGTCGGGACGACAGACATGACAAGGCACACACACATGCTATTGCTTTAGCCACGAACGGGGACAACTTGTAGATACTTTGGTATCTGTTTATCTGCTAGTCACTGCCATAAGTCGCCTGACATGTAAGCCCAGTGATTTCCAACTTTTCGCTGTGCAGCTGCGAACCCCAAACTCTCAACTCCGGAGTTGGAGCAGCCCAAACTGCACGCAGCGTAAAAATTAGAGCCGATATTTGTTGACAACAAACATGTGGCAAAGTTTGTTTTCGAGTCGCCACAAGGGGGTGGCATTGGATAACGATTACTTCACCGTGGCGAGGGGCATACCCCCATGATGTTGTTAAAAACGAAACTTGCGGTTGCCGGACGACGACGTCATGGCGTGCGTCTGGCGTCACACGCCCGGGGTTGGTTTCCCAATCCGTGCTGCCCCCAAAATTGGAGGGTTGCTGGCATAATTGCCACATAATGGTGCTCCGGCTGAGGCGCCACTTCTTGCAGTTTGTAGCTGTGGGGCAGTTCCGTTTCAACTGCAGTTCTCTGACTCATCTGCAACTTTCGTTTTTGGTCAGGTCCGTAGTCCCAGAGACGCTTGTTTGCGGAACTATTAACCAGCCATCCAATCGCAACGACATGGTCTGGGCAACTCAAATGCAATCCACTGGAAAAAAGTGTGATTTCATGAAAGAGATTTTATTGAAAGACTTTACTTTGTATAATCCTATTATTTTATATCTGTACAGTGTACAGAAAAGCGTGTTTGCCAAGCCCAAACTTTTCGCACCAACGTTGATGATGATTACTTCCGTCAAGCCATGACATTTTCCACGTGGCAGTGGTTTCTCCGGCGTAATGCAATGGGCCACTCTGCAGTCTGCCACAAATCTGTCTGCACATTATCTTCACTGTCAGGGTTAAGTTTTCCGCAGCATCGGAAATAAAGATGAATGCTTCAGCGGAAA